GCTGTACTTGAGATCTCGGAGCTTCAGCGAGTCGCTGTACTTGAGATCTCGGAGCTTCAGCGAGTCGCTGTACTTGAGATCTCGGAGCTTCAGCGAGTCGCTGTACTTGAGATCTCGGAGCTTCAGCGAGTCGCTGTACTTGAGATCTCGGAGCTTCAGCGAGTCGCTGTACTTGAGATGTCGGAGCTTCAGCGAGTCGCTGTACTTGAGATCTCGGAGCTTCAGCGAGTCGCTGTACTTGAGATCTCGGAGCTTCAGCGAGTCGCTGTACTTGAGATCTCGGAGCTTCAGCGAGTCGCTGTACTTGAGATCTCGGAGCTTCAGCGAGTCGCTGTACTTGAGATCTCGGAGCTTCAGCGAGTCGCTGTACTTGAGATGTCGGAGCTTCAGCGAGTCGCTGTACTTGAGATCTCGGAGCTTCAGCGAGTCGCTGTACTTGAGATCTTGGAGCTTCAGCGAGTCGCTGTACTTGAGATCTCGGAGCTTCAGCGAGTCGCTGTACTTGAGATGTCGGAGCTTCAGCGAGTCGCTGTACTTGAGATGTCGGAGCTTCAGCGAGTCGCTGTACTTGAGATGTCGGAGCTTCAGCGAGTCGCTGTACTTGAGATCTCGGAGCTTCAGCGAGTCGCTGTACTTGAGATCTCGGAGCTTCAGCGAGTCGCTGTACTTGAGATCTCGGAGCTTCAGCGAGTCGCTGTACTTGAGATCTCGGAGCTTCAGCGAGTCGCTGTACTTGAGATCTCGGAGCTTCTGCGAGTCGCTGTACTTGAGATCTTGGAGCTTCAGCGAGTCGTTGTACTTGAGATCTCGGAGCTTCAGCGAGTCGCTGTACTTCAGATCTCGGAGCTTCAGCGAGTCGCTGTACTTGAGATGTCGGAGCTTCAGCGAGTCGCTGTACTTGAGATGTCGGAGCTTCAGCGAGTCGCTGTACTTGAGATGTCGGAGCTTCAGCGAGTCGCTGTACTTGAGATCTCGGAGCTTCAGCGAGTCGCTGTACTTGAGATCTCGGAGCTTCAGCGAGTCGCTGTACTTGAGATCTCGGAGCTTCAGCGAGTCGCTGTACTTGAGATCTCGGAGCTTCAGCGAGTCGCTGTACTTGAGATCTCGGAGCTTCAGCGAGTCGCTGTACTTGAGATCTCGGAGCTTCAGCGAGTCGCTGTACTTGAGATCTCGGAGCTTCAGCGAGTCGCTGTACTTGAGATCTCGGAGCTTCAGCGAGTCGCTGTACTTGAGATGTCGGAGCTTCAGCGAGTCGCTGTACTTGAGATCTCGGAGCTTCAGCGAGTCGCTGTACTTGAGATCTTGGAGCTTCAGCGAGTCGCTGTACTTGAGATCTCGGAGCTTCAGCGAGTCGCTGTACTTGAGATCTCGGAGCTTCAGCGAGTCGCTGTACTTGAGATGTCGGAGCTTCAGCGAGTCGCTGTACTTGAGATGTCGGAGCTTCAGCGAGTCGCTGTACTTGAGATCTCGGAGCTTCAGCGAGTCGCAGTACTTGAGATCTCGGAGCTTCAGCGAGTCGCTGTACTTGAGATCTCGGAGCTTCAGCGAGTCGCTGTACTTCAGATCTCGGAGCTTCAGCGAGACGCTGTACTTGAGATCTCGGAGCTTCAGCGAGTCGCTGTACTTGAGATCTCGGAGCTTCAGCGAGTCGCTGTACTTGAGATGTCGGAGCTTCAGTGAGTCGCTGTACTTGAGATGTCGGAGCTTCAGCGAGTCGCTGTACTTGAGATGTCGGAGCTTCAGCGAGTCGCTGTACTTGAGATCTCGGAGCTTCAGCGAGTCGCTGTACTTGAGATGTCGGAGCTTCAGCGAGTCGCTGTACTTGAGATCTCGGAGCTTCAGCGAGTCGCTGTACTTGAGATCTCGGAGCTTCAGCGAGTCGCTGTACTTGAGATCTCGGAGCTTCAGCGAGTCGCTGTACTTGAGATGTCGGAGCTTCAGCGAGTCGCTGTACTTGAGATGTCGGAGCTTCAGCGAGTCGCTGTACTTGAGATGTCGGAGCTTCAGCGAGTCGCTGTACTTGAGATGTCGGAGCTTCAGCGAGTCAATGTGAATTCTCAACCGTGACTTCCAGAGCTTGAGCGAGCCGCCTTGTTTGAGCCCGATCTCCAGAATGTGTTCACCTCGGGAATCTCCCGCGTCTACTCGGGACCCTCGCCTCGGGCTTACCTACCTACCTTGGGTCCCTCGGGCTTACCTACCTTGGGTCCCTCGGGCTTACCTACCTTGGGTCCCTCGGGCTTACCTTGGAGATCATCTCGTTGTCAATGCCGTAGATCCTGCGTTTTGGAAACGCCCTCTTCCAGCATTGTTCGCCTCGCGACCCTCAGTCATGCCTATCTTGGGACCCTCGGATGGGACCTTCGGGATCCCTGGGCTTGCCTACCTTGGGTTCTTCGGGCTTACCTTGGAAATCATCTCATTGTCAATCCCGTAAAGGTGACTTTTGAGTCGACTCAAAAGTCTTCGGGCTTACCTTGGAAATCATCTCATTGTCAATCCCGTAAAGGTGACTTTTGAGTCGACTCAAAAGTCTTCGGGCTTACCTTGGAAATCATCTCATTGTCAATCCCGTAAATCCTGCCTCGTGGAAATGCTCTCTTCCAGAGCTTGAGCGAGTCGCCGTATTTGAGCCCGATCTCCAGCATGTTCACCGCACGCGGCTCCCACGGCTGCTGCTGCGGCGTGTCCTGTGAGCTCTGGGAGGGGTCCTCTGCGCCTGGCTGGGGCTGCTGGCAGTCGGCGGGGGTTTGGGACTGCAGCGGCAGGCGCAGCGGGTCGAGATAGAGGCTGTAGAAGGCGCCGTAGTGGTGCGTGCGCTTATCAGACGTGCCTTGGTTGACGATCGCTTCGAAGGAGATGAAGCCGGCCTGCCAGGGAAACGGCACGTGAACGAAGGGCGGTTATAAGACGCCTTAAAATCGGACGTGCCCTAAGCGATCGCTTCGAAGGAGACGAAGCCGGCCTGCCAGGGAAACGCGTAAATATCACGGGGAAGGAGACACGCAAAGCGTTTGTAACATGAACAATGAGTTATTACATAGAATGATGATTAAAGAACTATGTGGAAGGAACCTGGGTGAAGAAGGAATGATGTACTAGGAACGCATGCCAGTGTCTCACTCCTATTAGGAATGAGCGGGAGAATATAGATTGGCTGCGACTACGCGAGACACTGAAAGGTCCTAAGGTACATCAGAGTAAACACCGCTTTTCTTGAGGCGCCTCAAAAGGATTTATGGGGTTTTTTTGAAGCCTAAAAAAAGCTGATCGAGAAACCCTCCGATACAGTTGAGTTATCGCCGCGCTGGTTAAGGCCGGATTACACAAAAATACCGTATTAGTGAGTATTAGCAGTCTGTTAGTGACGCAGCATTGATGCTCTGCTCACGAACGATACTAATAACGGATCGTCAGTACGACTGGTGTATCACATTGCTACCTCTGATGTGTCGCGGCAGTTCTGGGTAAGCTTATACGCGATATACGCCCACGGGAGGAGGTAGACAACGAACAGGACGCCTCTTTGAGGCATAGCAGATTTCCAGTCGACACCCTTCCCCATCCTCCCGACCGCGGCCTACTGCTGCAGCTGGGGTTTGCGACCTCGTTCGTGAATGTATCACACTGCGGGATTCCCGCCTATTGCGCACACAGGACTATGAATGACGCGCTGTCTGAATCCGTTGAGAACGGTTCTACGTTGCACCCACTCGGAGCCGTCACATACTCCTAGGAGCGCGGACCAGGTACCTCTGCTTCGGAGACTAAAAAAAAGACGGAATTTCAAGGGTGTATGTGAGTGAGCGCGTGACTGGAAAATGTTTTTTCACCAGAATCTAGGGGCACCCCTAGAGGCACTGTACGCACGGTCTCATGTACAGTACCAGCGACTGTGCCAGATTTGTCCTCGATAAAACCCCGACAACGCCTTGGGATTGGCGGGCAGAACACTTCGAGATCTCAGGACAAAATATGCCTAAAGAATACCAAACGACTCCTTGATTCTTGATGTTCCAGAGTGTTTTAACTAAATCTGCAAGCCGATATTGGGAGAAAATGAGAAGCAGAAAGATGTTTCCTGCTCTAGCCAAGCACATTCTAGTTGGTGTTACTAATACCAGTGGCTAGTCTTCCGGCGAAGTGCACACATGTTCCTCATGCAGTGCACAGACCCCACTAATTTCTCCACCGGAGTTGCATAGAACTTCCCATGCGCCATGTTCTTGAAGTACACCTGCTTCTCAAAAAACTCCTTGTTCATCGCGTCTAAGAGCGACTGCATAACGTGCATAGTGGTGTCCGCTTCAGGAATGCCTTCCTTATAAGAAGTCTCCACATTTTCAATGAAGTAGGTTCCACCAGGCTGGAACAGCAAGATTGGTGGTGGGTGTATCAGGGATCGGAGGCAGGAGCGGAGGAAAGGAGGAGGAGAGAAAAGAGAGTAAGAAAGGAAAGAAAGGCAGCAATAGTGTAAGCAGGATAAAAACAGTATGGACAGAGGGTGTTGACATGAAGGGATGGAGGAATAGTGTAAGCAGGATCAAAACAGTATGGACAGAGGGTGTTGACATAAAGGGATGGAGGGAAAAGCAGTGCCAGCAGCAACAGGTACCTTGACCAGAGGCAGCAGTACCTTGACAAGCGGAAGGAGGTGTTTGAGGGATGTCTGTTGCTGATCGATGGTGTGACTACCATCGTCCACTATGAAGTCAAGAAGACCCACCTGAAACGAGTCACAACACAATAACAAGAAAGGAGGTTATACAACAACAATAAGGATGTCGACGATACAAAAACACTGATCATAACAGGAATTAAAGCAAGGACATGTCAGAAGACCAGCAGTAATCAAGTTTATACAGAGTTGGCATTGCAAGACACTGTCGAAAAAAATGCATCACACAGTAAAAAACACCTCATTTCCAAAAACACACTCATAATTACCCCACCTCACCCTGAACCACGCTGTACCATCCCACGTCGCTACCACTCCTCACCTCATTCTTAATATCAGAAACCGCTTTCTGCAAGAAATTCCCATTCGCCTGGTCGCCCACCATCAGCCGCACCCGCGGGTCCCTCGCCGCTGCCTGGAGCTGGGGTCACACAAACAAGGGTTCCAAACGAGAACTTTCAGGAACCAAAGAAAGAAAAAAGGCAAGAAATAAAAAAATTGTGCAAACGAACAGCCACCAAGAAAACAAAAGAAAGAGTGGCGTTCCATTGCGCTGCCCAGCACTTATGACTACCAACGAATGAAACCCAACCCAGCCAGCACCAGCACTATGTAACTGCAGCTTAGTCACATTCTCACCACCGATGAAATAAGGAGCACCCGAGCTCGTTACGTAAACGATGCACACGCGACATTTTACAATCACTAAAAGTAACTCTCCTTGGCACGGGAATGCCCGTGGTGACATTTGGGTCGACTCAAAAGTCACAGTGGACGTACCATCAAGGAGGAGGTGGTGTCATTTGCAATGCCGTAGATAACACCCCTCGGGAATGCCCGCTTCCACAGCTGCAGCGAGTCGCCGTACGCACGACCGACCGTCAGCAAGTTAACCTCCTGGTTTTCCCAGACCGGGATCCGATCGTCACCACGGGTTAGTTGCGGTCGGCGTAAAGGGTCGAGATACAGGCTGTAGAACGCGCCGTAGTGGCTCGCGCGTTTATCGGATGTGACATTGTCGAGGATTTGTTGGAAGGGAGTGATGGGCTGCAGCCGGGATAGGTACATCTGCAGGAGGAAGCGGGTGGACAGTTCAAACGGGATCTTACAGGTAGTTGTAGGAGTCTCATGGAAGTTCGCAAGCGACACTACTAGCGATGCTCACATCTGAAGATTGCACAATGCGGCATCAATGCGAACACACCTATTGTTTTGACAGTCCAGATTCGCAAGGACTGTAGCAAAAAACTTGATAACAGACAGCGTCGTGGATATATGTAGCACGAAGGCGTGCTACCCGGAAGAGACGTGCTGAAAATGCACGAGTTTTCATGATCTAGAACTAAATTCAGACCTCTTGCTCCGCGGATGGGCCATGGCGGCAGTTTCCGATGAAGTCAAAAGCGACGTACAACCAGGGAAGCACGGAGAGGATGACTAGGAAGCTTCCCTGCGGAGCGATATTCCAGGCATTGCTACTCTTCCGCATCATGCTCACTAATGTATCAAAGCTTGGCGGTGAACGCTCGAATAGATGTGTGTATGAAGACTGCTTAGTGGGCCCTAGAAATCCTCCAAATCTGAAATACCTATTTGCGTCTACTGTTGACTCTGCATGCCTTGCTGAATAACAGTAAAGTTGCAGGACAGGAGATTCTCTTGGGAGCTACATTACTGTACCTTGCTCAAGCGCGGTCTGCACCGCTACGAGCTTCCTCGGGTTTTTGAGAAAGAGAAAGTCTGCTAACGGTACTACAGCTTATCATTGTTAAATCAGAATGCTTCTCAGGAGTTGTGTCCAGAACCCTACCCAAACGCAAAGAACTGTAAACACACCGCTCTGACATAGATAGCATCTCATTCCACCATAACCAAGTGAACTCAGGGCGGGTCCAGCGCGTAAAATATCCGTACATTACAGTTCATCCAGTGCGGTAATCTGTATTGCGTCAAGGTTCAAAACGGTGCAATTTGATAACCGCTGTGCACCGCCTGATATCTTTTCTCACCTCGACGAATGAACTGTATAGGACCTGTAAACGTACACGCTGGACACGCCCACTCACACAACTCTGGTTGTTGGGGTTTTTATGGGGGTGGGGCGGGTCATGGGTAGTTGACGGGACCGTGGGTGGGTTGCAGGCCTGTCGTTTCGTTTTGGGCCCCCCGGACAAATCAGGGAGCCCGTCATTTATGACCCTGTATTTAGCAGGGTTGGGGCGAATCTCGGCCCTTAAGGTTTCAAGCATGGAAAATTTTCCTCCCTTGAATCAGGTTTGGCGCGGAAAATTCTGGACTGGAGCCTCATTTCAACTACCAAGCTTACAACTACGTTTGAGATGAACCACAAGCAAGCAAGCACGACATATAGAAGATTAGTTAGTGTCATATCACTACGCACGCTTTGCAGGCTTCCTATCCTTTGCAGAACCGATGATCTTGCGCACTTCTACCCAACCTTAACCGTCTACCCACTCCACAGAGAGCGAGTTGTGATTGGTTTAAGCACATTTCCAGGTTGAGTTGAATTTGTGGCCCAACCAGGTTGGATGCAATCAGGCTAGAAACGAAGGGGAGAGGAGAGGGAGGAGTGTTGGGGGAGAGGGGGGGCTCGAAAGATTTTGTTCCAGGGCTCACCTAAAATCTACCCTTTTCCTTCCAGGCCTAAGCCCAAAATCAGCCCTGTAAAGAATCAGGGCCAGAATATTTCCAACTCATCAATTTCAGTTTCCAAGGGCAACCCAGCCCTGGAATTCAAGGTCCAGTAGGGCAAACGCCCTGCAATCGACAGCCCTGGTGGGTTGGGATGGGATGGGCATGGGAGGGAGCGAGGGACTGGTTGTCCCTGTGCGACCTGGTGGTGGTTCGTTGTGTGACGTGTCGTGTCTGCTCTGCTGTTGTATGGATTGCGGCGGGGCAGAGTCAAGATGGTTCTCGAGATATATTCAGAACCTCGTGTCACCTGAAATACTCCTAGACACGATGCTGTACGTTTCTCCAAATGTTGCACGGCCCGATCTAGTTCCAGGAAGTGTTTCATGAATCATGACCCGAAGCTCCACGTTTCTTCTTTTAGCGCTCTCTCATTCATACACTAACGAGTCCTCGTGTCCCAGAAGCAGATTTTGGATAGGGGTGAATTGAGTTGGAATTTCGACGTAGTGGTTGTATTCGTTTTCACTTTGACTTTGAAAGGTTCATTCTGGTGCGAGATGGTCAAAAGCAGTGTACTTAAAATCGCTTTCAAACGTAATTGAATGTTTTGAACCGCGTCAAACCAATCGAAAATGACGAAGTATGGCTGGCCCTCACACACACAACCCACAGAGCGAGGAGGCCATTTTTTCTGAAACAAACGACGGAAATCATGTAATGCTTGACTCAATAGTTTGACGAACGCTGGAAGAATAACGTCACGTTTCCTCCGAGTCCCTTTGGTGAGAGATTATCCTACCTGGTCCACTTTTCACCACGAGCTACGTGCCGCGACGCGTACCTTGGGGTTTTATCACACAGACGCGACTCGGACTCTAATAGTAGTAGACTTAGCGTAGACCGCGTGCTTTTGAGGCAGCGGCGATCACGGCGGTGACGGTGATGGTCAGTGTTGTCAAAGCCGCACAATGAGCTGTCAGAATCGCAAAAACCCGTGTTGTCAAGATCGTCCTACCTTGGGCGTTGCTCCCTCGGTCAACCATGAGCACCGCGCGAATGACGCCGCAACATGCGGCGCCAACGATCACGGCGCTGCTACCGCCGGCGGCGACTGTACCAGCAGCACGGTCCATCGAAGATTATTGGAAGACTCGTCAACGGATAGTCACGACTGCGTGTTAGATTCGATAAAACCGGCGCGGCCGGCAAAAGTCCCGGCAGTACCGCACTCTGAAGCCATGGCGGCAACGCAGTGGCAGTTTACTCAAGCTCCAAGCCTTTTCAATCCGGCGATGGTGTCTCAACTGCAAGTTCCGCACTGGCAGGCAGTTGAATCTCACTTTCACGCCGTCGTAGACGGTTTAAAGGGCTGCATATCGTCCTGCAAAGACTTGTTAAGAGACAAGCCCCTGTTCGGCGGCAGCGGCTCCTCCGCCGCATCCTTTGGCGGCGGCGGCGGCGGCGGAGGCGGCGCGAGCTCAGCGCCGTCGTCGCTGTCCGTGGCGTCGCTGCTGCACAGCCACTCGATCGTGCTGCTGCTGACGTGCGTCAGCATTCTAATGTCTGCCGTCAGCTTAGCACTCGTGCTCTCCCTTCCCCCGCCTCTTCACCAAGAAACCACTCTTACCACCATCGATACAGAACCACTGCCGACCACGGGTAACACTGTTACAGGCAGTAACACTCTTACTGGTGGTAACGCTCATACTGCATTTCTCCCGCAAGACCTTTCCCGGGGCCCGTTACTGTTAGGATCGAGGCAATCCGGTGCGTCAGCAAATGCCGTCGTGGACGCAGGTTCCGTTAGTAGCAGCTTCGGTAATAGCAGCAATGCGCAAGTCGGTGTTACGAGCAGCAGCAGAAACGATACTACTAGTAATACCTCAAGCGGAAGCAGTATCACCGGCAGGAGCAGCAACAGCAGCACCGGCGATAGCAGCGGCGGTAGCAGTAGCGGGGCCGAGGGGGGCGCCAGTGGCAGAGCCAATGCAGGAGGGATTAACGGAAACAGTCAACACCCGTCAGAGGCTTCGGCTGTAGCCGTCAATGACAGTCAACAGCTGTCAGAGGCTTCGGCTGTAGCCGTGCTCATGGCACAACCTACTTCGCCGCATCCCCTGCAGCCAGCAGCAGCAGCGCCTGTCGGTGACACTGCGGATGTAGCAGCAACAGGAGAATCAGTAACAGCAGGAGAAGCAGGAGCAGGGGGGGAAACAGCAACAGGAGGAGAACAAGCAGCAGGGGGTGAAGCAGAAACAGCCGGAGAATTGGCAACAGGAGGAGAAACAGCAACAGGAGGAGAAACAGCAACAGGAGGAGAGGCAGCAACAGGAGGAGAGGCAGCAACAGGAGGAGAAACAGCAGCAGCAGGAGAAACAGCAACAGCAACAGGCGGAGAAGAAACAGCAGCAGGTGCTGCAGGCGCAGCAGAAGCAACCTCGGCAGAAGAGGAGGCAAGCTGGGATGGTGTGCAGGCCATCGTTCATATCAAGGTGTGAGTTGATCAAATACGTGTGTGCGGGTGCGTGCACGCAAGTTCAAAGCGTGTGTGTGTGTGTGTGCGCGCGCGCGCGTGTGTGTGTGTGCTGCCCCCTCCCCAGTAACCCCACGCTCCTGTTCTCTCTCCCCAACCTTCTGCCCTACAGACGTCCGTGCTCCCTCTACCCCTGCAGCGTCTGTGCCAGGCCAGCGCCCTATCCACCCTGCACAACATCCCTCTACCCGTATCCTGTGGCACCTGCGCGTGTGCACACTCACTCTCCCCTTTCCGCATTTTTCTCCCCGAAACCCTCTGCCTACCTACAGACGTCCGTGCTGCCGTTAGCTCTACTGCGCCTGTGCCAGGCCAGTGCCCTATCCACCCTGCACAACACCCTCCCCACGCCCCAACCCCCTGCCCTACAGACGTCCGTGCTCCCTCTAGCCCTGCAACGGAGGCCAGCGCCCTATCCATCCTGCACAACATCACCATGGGTGTGCTGCAACATCACCATGGGTGTGCTGCAACATCACTGTGGCACCTGCGCCCGCCCACCCTCCCTATCCCGCCTTTCTCTCCCCTCAACCCCCCATCCACCTACAGACGTCCGTGCTCCCCTTGGCTCTGCAGCGCCTGTGCCAAGCCAGTGCCCTATCCACCCTGCACAACATCACCGTGGGGGTGCTGTGGCACCTGCGCCCACACACCCTCCCTTTTCCGTCTTCCTCTTATCCCAACCCCCTACTTACAGACGTCCGTGCTGCCTCTAGCCCTGCAACGTCTGTGCCAGGCGAGCGCCCTATCCACCCTCCACAACATCACAGTGGGTGTGCTGTGGCACCTGCGCCCGCACACACCCCCTCCTGCCTCTCGCGAAGCGGCCACAGCCACAGAAACCCCCCCGCCCGTGCCCTTCTCGGCGCTGCTGGTGCCGCCGCAGGGGGTGGCAGTGCGTGTGTCGCTGCCTGCAGGGGTGGTGGCAGAGGGGAAGCGATTGCAGGTGCAGCAGGCAGATAGGACGGAAGACTTTGGTATTGCACCGGTGAGCTTTGTTTGTTCCGAGCTGCTTTGAGCTGCACTAGGCATGGAGACGACTTTTCAATTCCGTATGTGTGGAGAGTTTGAGCTGAGTGGCTTTAAGCATCGAGAGATTGTGTAACAACTCATCGGTGTGTATGTGTGAAGAGTTTGTGTTTCTTTTCACTGTAGCAGCATCATGCATTGATGTGTTGGCTGCATTCATGTGTCGCTTGCGCTGGCGTGTAACATGGTGACGTGGCATGCTGCTATTGGCTTGGCAGGTGGAGCGCAAGTGTGGGGAGAGGGAGGAGGAGGAATGGAGCCCTCTGATGCTGCCCATGGAGGTCTATGTGCCCCGCTCTCTTGCCCGCGCCATGGTGAGTAAGTAGTAGCGTGAGTGGCTGTTGCATAAGGAGGAGGAGGAGCAGGAGCAGGAGCAGGAGCAGGAGGAGAGGATTAGTCTGATGCTGCTCATGGAGGTCTATGCCCCCCGCTCTCTCGCCCGCGCCATGGTGAGTAAGTAGTAGCGTGAGTGGCTGTTGCATAAGGAGGAGGAGGAGCAGGAGTGGAGCCCTCTGATGCTGCTCATGGTCTATGCCCCCCGCTCTCTCGCCCGCGCCATGGTGAGTAAGTAGTAGCGTGAGTGGCTGTTGCATAAGGAGGAGGAGGAGGAGGAGGAGGAGCAGGAGCAGGAGCAGGAGGAGTGGAGCCCTCTGATGCTGCTCATGGAGGTCTATGCCCCCCGCTCTCTCGCCCATGCCGTGCCATGGTGAGTAGCAGAGGCATGATTTCTCTTTAGTCGACTCAAAAGCAGGAGGAGGCCTTTGAGTCGACTCGAAAGCAGGACGAGTGGAGCCCTCTGATGCTGCTCATGGTGGTCTATGCCCCCTGCTCTCTTGCCCGTGCCATGGTCAGTGGTACTTGCCATCTATGTCTCGTACATAGGTCTGTGATGAGTCTATTTTTTAGTCGACTCAAGTCTGCTTTTGAGTCGATTCAAAAGCTTCTTTTGAGTCGACTCAAAAGTGGTACCTGCGATCTATGTCTCGTACGTACATAGGTCTGTGACGAGTCTATTTTTGAGTCGACTCAAAGATAGACCTACTTGAGACCTATGTTTCATACCTAGGTCTGTGTCCCCTTCTATCTACTCTATCCCACTTCCCTGTATTCCTCTGTGCGTCACTCTCTTTCTCTCTCCCGCTCCTCCCTCTATCCCTCCCTCTTCCCAAGGCATGGCTGTACGACGAGACCATGAGGTGCTATCTGTCGCTGCACCCATCAGCAGCAGTGCCCTCTGTGCGTTCCTCTCTCCTTCCTCTCCCCACCCTCTCTCCCTCCAGGCATCCACTGGCCCATGTCGGCTGTACGACGAGACCATGAGGTGCTGTCAGTCGCTGCAGCCATCAGCAGCAGTGCCCTTACTCTCCACCCAATCCCACCTCCCTCTGTCCCACTGTCCCTCCATCCCTCTCTCCCTCCAGGCATTCACCGGCCCTTGCCGGCTGTATAACGAGACCATGAGGTGCTATCAGTCGCTACAGCAGAACCACTAAGCTCCCCTCTATCCCCTTCGCCCTCTCTCCTTCCTCTCCCCACCCTCTCTCCCTCCAGGCATCCACTGGCCCATGCCGGCTGTACGACGAGACCATGAGGTGCTATCAGGCGCTGCAGCCGTCAGCAGCGGTGCAAGCGATGGTGGATGGAGAGGATGTGGGGCGAGTGAGGGGCACAACGGGAGTGCTGCTGGAGGTGAGTCTGCTGGGGTGGGGGTGAGGGAGGAGAATGGTGGCACGTGGTATGGCACAAGCACACGTAGCTGCTGCAGCCGGCAGCAGCAGTGCAGGGGATGGTGGATGGGGAGGATGTGGGGCGAGTGAGGGCCACAACGGGAGTGCTGCTGGAGGTGAGTGAAGGGTTAGGGCATGGGGGAATGGTGGCACGTGGTATGGCGTGCACGCGCACACACACACATATACACACACGCGCGCGCGCGCACACACACACGCACACATACACACGCACACACACACGCGCGCGCGCACACACACACACACACACACACACACACAGAGGCGCTGCAGCCGTCAGCAGCGGTGCAGGGGATGGTGGATGGGGAGGATGTGGGGCGAGTGAGGGCCACAACGGGAGTGCTGCTGGAGGTGACGGAGGGGTAGGGCATGGGGGGGTGGTGGGGCATGGAGGGAAATGGTGTTGATGGTCGGGCATGGTATGGATGGTGGTACAAGGAGGGGAATGGATGGTGGTACAAGGAGGGGAATGGATGGTGGTACAAGGAGGGGAATGGATGGTGGTACAAGGAGGGGAATGGATGGTGGTACAAGGGGGAAATGACAGCGCATGGTGAGGATAGAGGATGGGGAGGATGTGGGTCGAGTGAGAATCTCTCCACATGATTTTTGGGGCACCTCAACCATTTTTGGGGCACCTCAGCCATTTTGGAGGCACCTCATCGATTTTTGAGGCGCCTCAAAGGTGGGGAGTATGTGGGTCGAGTGAGAATCCCCCCACATGCCTCATCCACAATCTCCGTCTTCCTCCTCCACCCTTCCCCCATCTGACTTACATCCTCCTCCCACACAACCCCCCCCCCCCCCCCATCAGGACCCCAAGGCTTCTGGAGCCACCGCTGCTGCCTCATCTGCAATCTCACTACCCTCTTCCTCCCTGCTCCCTCTCCTATCTCCCTCCCACTTCCCGGGCCCCCATACACTTCCCATCAGGACCCCAAGACTTCTGGAGCCGCCTCCGCCCCTCCCTGCCCCAACGCCAAGCTCCTCCCCACGTGCCTCATCCGCAATCTTACCTCCCTCTTCCTCCGCCACCTCCCCTCCCCTGCCCTCCCTCCCCTGCCCTCCCTCCCCTGCCCCCCCTCCCCTGCCCCCCCTCCCCTGCCCCCCCCTCCCCTGCCCGGCCCCATCAGGACCCCAAACAATCTGGAGCCACGGGTGCTGCCGCATCATGCCCCACCGCCAAGCTCCTCCCCACGTGCCTCCCTGCCTCCTTCTCTGCTCCCTTCCCTCTCTCCCCTCCGTTTCCTCTCGTATTCCTCACTTCAGGACCCCAAGGTTTCAGGAGCCACTGCTGCTGCTGCATCATGCCCCAACGCCAAGCTCCTCCCCACGTGCCTCATCCGCAATCTCACCTCCCTCTTCCTCCGCCACCCCGCCCTCGACTTCACTCTCGCCGCCGCCTCCCCTCCCCTGCCCGCCCGCTCCGTCGCCTCCGCCTTCCACCCCAACCGCGCCCCCCTGCTGCCCCTCGCTGCTGCATGGCGGGCGGAGCACTGTGGGGACGGAGGGAGTGCGGACATTGCCACAGCTTGCTACCAACGACTGGTAAGGCCCTTCCTCCATTCCACCCCAACCGCGCCCCCCACTGCTGCATGGCTGGGGGAGCAATGCAGGGAAGGAGGGAGTGCGGACACTGCCACACCTTGCTACCAACAACTGGTAAGCGCCTGCCTCCAGGCTTCACTCTGCTAGCCGCCTCTAGGCTTCTCTCTCTCTCTACTAGCCGCCGCCTCCTCTCTCCTGCAAGCCCGCTCTGTCGCCTCCGCCTTCCACCCCAACGGCGCCCCCCTGCTGCCCCACACCGCTGAATGGCGGGCAGAGCACTGTGGGGACAGAGGGAGTGCGGATATCGCCACAGCTTGCTACCAACGACTGGTAAGCGCCTGCCTCCAGGCTTCTGTCCACCCCAACCGCGCCCCCCGTCTGCCCTACTCCGCTGCATGGCGGGTGGAACACTGCAGGGAAGGAGCAGGAGTACTCAAGCTTTCCCTCCCCTCCCATTCCTTGCCCCCTTCCCCCCCACCCCTCTAACTCCTCCCAGCTAGCAGAGCTTTTTCTGCTTGCAGACGCCCCTTCCCTCATCTTCACTCACAAGTCGCCCGCCTTCTCATTCGTTGTGGCGCGCGGGTCAACACGGCAATCCCGAGGGCTTGAGGGGGCGTTCAGAGTGGTGCAGCCGGCGCTGTGTGCTGCTGCGTGCCCCAAACCGCTGCTGGAGAATAAATTCGCCCAACACATGATCGTAGATGGTGAGTGGACTTTTGAGTCGACTCAAAAGGCAATCCTGAGCGCTAGGGGAGGCGTTCAGAGTGGTGCAGCCGGCGCTGTGTGCTGCTGTGTGCCCCAAACCGCTGCTGGAGAATAAATTCGCCCAACACATGATTGTAGATGGTGGGTGCATGGGGAATAAGTGAGGGGAGTGAGGGGACTGTGTGTGTTGGGTTGGGGTGCTGGAGAGTAGGCGGTCTGATTCGTCAGATGCATGATCGCTGGTCAACACGGCAATCCCGAGGGCTGCAGGGGGCATTCCGCGTGGTGCAGCCGGCACTGTGTGCCTCTGCGTGCCCCAAACCGCTGCTGGAGACTAAATTCGCCCAACACATGATCGTGGATGGTGGGTGGATGGGGAATAAGTGAGGGGAGTGAGGGGACTGTGTGTGTTGGGGTGCTGGGAGAGTAGGCGCTCGATTCGTCAGATGCATGAGCGCAGGTCAGTGCGGCAATCCCGAGGGCTCCAAGGGTCGTTCAGAGTGGTGCAGCCATCGCTGTGTGCTGCTGCGTGCCCAGAACCGCTCTTGGAGAATAAATTCGCCCACACATGATTGTGGATGGTGAGTGGATGGTGAGTTGACTTTTGAGTCGACTCAAAAGTCAACTGAGTGGATGGTGAATGGATGGTGAATGGATGGTGAATGGATGGTGAATGGATGGTGGGTGGATGGTGGGTGGATGGGGAGTGAACTGTGAAGGTGCCCTGCAATGCCCTGGACTGCCCTCCAATGCCCTCGAGTCACCCCCCCCCCCCCTCTCTAAACCTCTCTAACATCTGCTCTGATGAAAAAACTTGATTCTTGAATCAGATCCTCCTCTTTCTGTCCTCCTCCTCTTCCCCCCCACCCCCTCCTCCTCTCCTTTCCCCCTCAGAGTCCCTCAAGGCCCTCTGCTGCGCGCTGCCCAAGGTGGGCAACACAAGTCATGACTTGGACCCTCCTGTTCCTGTCCACATCCCCCTCCCCCTCCCCCTCCCCCTCCCCCTCCCCCTCCCCCTCCCCCCTCCCCCTCCCCCTCCCCCCTCCTCCCCAGAGTCCCTCAAGGCCCTGTACTGCGCGCTGCCCAAGGTTGGCAACACGAGCTGGAAACTCTGGTTCCGTTTCTTGACAAGTCTCGCATTCAGCTCTTCATCTCCTCCTCGCTCTCCCGCCCTCCCCTCCATCCCCCAGAGTCCCTCAAGGCCTTGAACCGCGCGCTGCCCAAGGTGGGCAGCACGAGCGGGAAGCATCATGAATAAGACCCTCCTCTTCCTGCCTTCGCACTCCCTCCTCTCGTCCCCCCTCCATCCCTCAGAGTCCCTCAAGGCCTTGAACCGCGCGCTGCCCAAGGTAGGCAACACGAGCAGGAAGCATCATGAAAAAGGCCCTTATATCCTGCCTTTGCACTCCCTCCTCTCGTCCCCCACCTCCAGAGTCCCACGAGCGGGAAGCATCATGAAAACCGCATTCAGCTCTTCATCTCCTCCTCGCTCTGCCCCCTTCTCCCCACTCCCAGAGTCCCTCAAGGTGCTCTACTGCGCGCTCCCCAAGGTGGGCAACACAAGCTGGAAGCTCTGGTTCCGCCTCATGAAGCTTCGTGGAAACTACTCCGAGTTCCACTCTTTCAACAAGACCAGCTCTGACAACAACGCGGGTTCTTCTGCGAATGGGACGGCCGCAGCAGATGCTGGGGTTGGGGGAACAGCAGCAGCAGAAGGGACAGCAGCACCAGCAGCAGCAGCAGCAGCGTCAGAGCCAGCAGCAATAAACATAACGACCGAGGATTTCAAGATGATTCACCTGCGTGGGCTGAACGGACTGACGGAACTCCCAGATTTCCACGAGGAAGCGGCCATCCGTTTCATCACGCGGCGGGACGTGTTCCGATTCACGTTCGTGCGCAACCCTCTCACGCGCGCCACGTCAGCGTTCCTCGACAAGTTTGTGCACGCGCGAAATTTCACGAATGAGGGCGATGCGCGGCTATATTGGGCGGACGCCATGTTTGGGCAGACCAAGCTGCTCAAGAAGATGTTAAAAGAGCACCCCACGGGTGAATTCTCGTTTGCGGAGTATCTGGTTCTTGTGGAGGAGGCTCTTAAGGGGGATGCTGATAAGATCGAGAATCACATTGACAAGCAGGTAAGGCCCTTGGGGGGGGGGGAGGGGAGGTGGGGGGTGGTGTGATAGATGGTGATGCATAGCGTTCCTGGACAAGTTTGTGCACGCGCGGAACTTCACCAACGAGGGCGATGCGCGGCTGTACTGGGCGGACGCCATGTTTGGGCAGACCAAGCTGCTTGGGAAGATGCTTAAGAACCCCACGGGTGAATTCTCGTTTGCCGAGTTTCTGGTTCTTGTGGAGGAGGCTCTTAAGGGGGATGCGGATACGATCGAGAATCACATTGACAAGCAGGTGAGGATGCTGGGTTGCTTTGAGGCTGATGGGTGGTTGTGATAGATGGTGATGCTTGGTGGGTGTTTGCTAGTCATGAATGGAACACGGCTAACATGTTTCATGGGCCATCCCAATCCGTCCCACTGAATCCAGCTTCAGCTACTCACCCAGTCATTCCCCTCTCCTTCAACCCCCACAGGTCGACCTCAGTGCTTTGGATCGCTTCATTCCCCCTCAATTCCTGCACGAATCTTTCCCTCTCGAATCCAGCTCGTTTCTCCTTCTCTCCTGATTCCCTCTCCCGCTTCCCTGCAGATCGACCTCTGTGTGTTGAATCGCGTGCACTACGGCTTTGCGGGTTGCTTTATCGATCCCTGCTGAAGTTTTCCTTTCTAGATTCCTCCAAGTATCTCTTCATCGCAGCTCGTTCCCTGCTTCCTCACCCCTCCAGATCGACCTCTGTGCGTTGGATCGCGTGCATTACGACTTCGTGGGTCGCTTCGAGAACATGTCTGCTGACGTGGCAGCAGTGATGCGTCAGCTCAACACGTCAGATCTTGGGATCTTCCAGAAGGGCAAGTCCCTCCAGCTCACAGGCGCGGACCAGCGTTCGGCACAGTTGTACGATAAGGTGAGTGCTCAGTGCTGCCATTCCCATTTGATGAGGTGAGTGCTCCGTACAGCCTTCTGCTATAAGGTGAGCCTTGGGATTGTCCAGCAGAAGGGCAAGTTCCTCCCCAGCTCACAGGCGCGGACCAGCGTTCCGCGCAGTTGTACGATAAGTTGAGTGCTCTGTGCTGCCTTTCCCATTTGATAAGGTGGGTGCTGTGTGTTGCTAAGTGCTTTCTTCCAATCAGATAACCCGAGTGCGTTGGTCAGTCTGCATCGCTCGTAACACGACAGCGTGGATACTAACTGGTTCGGTTTCGTCAATTCCATTCATATTCTCTCAAAATGTTCTTGTTGCCTCCCCTTCCCTCCATCGGATTCGACGGTCCAGGACTCATTGGAGCGGGCGAATCGGATTTACAGCGACGACATGAGCATTCCCTTCAACGCCATTCGCTACGACATTCCCGAGGCCCTCAAGCAGGTGGCCGCTCGGGAAAACGACACGCAAACACCGGCAACTGCAACCTCTAGAAAACTCCGAATTCTCGAGTCTCCGCGTTGAACGCCATTCGCCACGACATCCCCGAGGCCGTCAGGCGGTTCGGTGCTCAAACTGACGCGCCAACAGCCACGACCACTAGATAACGTCGAGGGACCGAGCGACATTCCGGTATCAACGCGACCCGAGGCTCTCAACTCAGGAGCACGGTGCGCTTGGCTGGACTGACTGACTCGTTCGGACAAGCCACAAAGCACTGCTGATAAGGGCGAAGTCAGGTTATACGATTCTCACGCGTTTACAGTTCTTGTTTTGTGGTTCAGGATGGTCCAGCACGGTGAAAAGCGGTTCTCGCCTTGTACCGCTCTGCACCGTGTTGAAACAAAGTTAACCGCTGTAGGCGTACAAAAGGTTGTACAACCTGACGTCGCCCTAACCCGGACAACTCCTAAGTGATACCAGAAAATACCAAACCGATACAGGGCCATTCGCCACTGCTTTGTGATGCCCAACGTTGATCAATGTACAAAATTTTGCCATGGACACACAAATGTTTCCACCTTTTTAAAACGAGGGTCTATATTTGACAAGCGGGGGTTCAGAAGTTTTTGTTTTGAACCAGGCTTGCCAGCGCGAAAGTGTTGGCTAACGAGAACCTGGATTTCGTGCGGACACTTTTCCTCCGCAGTAGCAGTTCGCCAGGGTTTTGGGTTTCGGGTGGCAAATGTGCACCGTCGCTTTAATATGTTGGAGCCCAGCATGTTCACCCACCACTGACTTGGCATTCTCTCCGCTTGAAATCTGTAATGGGGCGTTTTCATCTACCCTTATCACTTACGTAATGCACACTGCTTTTGGTGGGTCTCTACAGAAACTGGGGTTTCAAATTTCATGCTGGTCGGTGCTTGAAAAAATCAGCCTCACAAATGCTGCACTGGTCTCATTCACAAAGGAGCTTTGGCAACTCCAGGATTTCTGGAGCCCTCCAAGCCTCGTACTGCCGAACCATTTCATACAAGCCAAACTTAGCCTCTACATAGCTCCACCCCTACACAATCACAATTCCCCCTGCAGGCTCTACATAGCCTGAGCCCGTGCCGGCACCTGCAGCTTCAGCAGGCCCCGTGCCTCAAACCGCCAAACCATCTCATATCATAGACCCATCTTGGCCACTATCTGGCAAAAGAGTCAGAGCCTCTCCCAACCACTCATTACTGTCACACTCACAAATCGCCCTGCAGGCACTCCTGTAGAGCCTGGGCCCGTGCCTCGTACCGCCGAGCCATCTCATATGACAAGCCCACCTTAGCCGCTATTTGCCGAAGGGTTAAGACAACCCCCATCTCCTCAGCAGAATCACTATCACAAATCCCCCTGAAGACTCTCCTGCAGCGCCTGGGCTCGTGCCGGCACCTGCAGCTTCAGCAGGCCCCGTGCCTCGTATCGCCGAACCATCTCATATGACAGACCCATCTTGGCCGCTATCTGCCGAAGGGTTAAGACCTCCCCCACGCCCTCGCCGTCCTTGCCGCCCAGCCCGAAGCGCCACCTCAGCACGGTGGCCTCGTGTGGGTGTAGCGTGTCAAGCTGCGAGTGCAGGGGAAGGTAATCAATCGGGGAAGAGGAATGAAAGCTTAGATTAGCAGAGGCAGATGGAAGAAAGAGAACAGAGTGCCCACGAAAGACCATCACCTCAGCACAGTGGCAGTGTGTGTGTGTGTATCGTGCCATGCTCTCACATGTGACCACGTATGCTCTCACATGTGATCACGCATGCTCTCACATGTGATCACGCATGCTCTCACATGTGATCACGCATGCTCTCACATGTGATCACGCATGCTCTCACATGTGACCACGCATGCTCTCACATGTGACCACGCATGCTCTCACATGTGACCACGCATGCTCTCACATGGCTTTATGTTGGCTCTTCTCATATGCTAGCTCGGAACCAAGCTGCAATTTCCAAACCCCAACACCACTGCCACCACCGCTTACCTCATCCCACGCCCTATCACTCCCACCTTTCCACACTGCTACCCTACCACCACTGCTTACCGCGGCAACAAGGGCTGCTCGTGTGTGCCCCAGTGCGCCTCCCTGCACACTCATGCTGCTTTCCCGAAGCTGCCAATACCTGGAAAGCCCTAAATCCCACAGCCCATCCCACCAACACAACTGCGTACCACGGCAACAAGGGCTGCCCCTGTGTGCCCCAGTGCGCCTCCCTGTGCACTCATGCTGCTCCCCACACCGCCATCACCACTGGCACCACCAACAGCAGCAGTTGCAGCGGTTGCAGGAGCACCAGCAGCACCAACACCAGCAGCAGTTGCAGCAGCAGTTGATGCAGAAAGAGCAGCACTGGTAGTGGCAGGGCCTGTGGCAACCAAGCCACCCTCACCACCATCCGTACTCGCTATAGTGTCCTCCAGTGCAAGCCCTGTGACCCGCGACGCGGCGTGCAGGGAGACGGGGCGCGTGACGAGAGGGGCGGCAAGGGCGGCACGGCACTGGGCGGCAGAGAGGCCGGCCTCTGCTGCCACCTCTGCTACAGTGGCCTTACGGCCTAGTCGGTTCTCCACTGCTGCTCTTGCCTTGCGCACTGAAATGAGGGTCTGCGGATGGGGGGAAAGTTGAATGGGGGGGAAAGAGAGAAGGAGGGGACGGGGGGGGGGACAGGGGGAGGAATTTAAAGAGGCGATTCAAGACAACGTACCTTGAGAGGAATGGGGGAAACTGTGAGGAATAGAAGCAAGTTGAGAGATTGTCGAGACATGATATGCACGAGCAAGGCACAAAGTGCTTCTGCCTCCCCATACTCCACTGCTGCTGTTGCCTTGCGCACGCTCACACCCTCACACCCTCACAACTCACACCCTCGCACCCACACGCAATCACACTCACACCCCCACACCCTCGCACCCCCACACCCTCGCACCCCCACACCCTCACACCCTCACACCCTCAAGCACTCACCATGGAGATCCTAGCAGGCGGGCGGACATCACATCTGAGAATTTTCAAAAGTGATTTCCATATAGCTGACTCACACCCTCAAGCACTCACACCCTCAAGCAATCACCATGGAGCTCCTAGCAGGCATGTGGACGAACTGAGTTGAAGGAATGGCGCGGATTATCGCTGTCCTGACAGCATGCGTGGCGAAGGTGGAGAAGCGCAGGTGCCTGGCAGGGTCAGCGCAGCCAGTCTTCACTTCTGAGACGTCTCAAAAGGTCGCCTGGCGGGGTCAACGCAGCCAGTCTCCACTGCAATACCCTTACAGCACCCTCGGAACACCCCACAACCCTAAACCCGAAACCCTGAGCTCCTAGCGGGCATGCGGACAAACTGCGTCGACGGTATTGCACGAATGATGGCCGTGCGGACAGACGCACACTCACAACACGCTCACACTCTCACGCACTTACCATGGAGCTCCTAGCAGGCATGCGCACGAACTGAGTGGAGGGAATAGCACGTATGATTGCTGTGCGGACAGCGTGGGTGGCAAAGGTGGAGAAGCGCAGCTTCCTGGCGGGATCAAAGCGGCGGGCAGCTGTGGTGAGACCCTCGAGGCCGCGCTGACAGATGGCGACGAAATCGGCTCCCGTGGAGAGGCGGAACGATTGAGCGATGGATAGCACGAGGCGAAGGTTGTGCTGCAACAGGTGAGGAATAGGCAAAAGGGGAGGGGGGAAGGAAGGAAGGGGGGCCGGGAGGGGGGAAGAGATGGGGAGAGGAGTGGGGGAAGGGGGACGTCTGGTGCGAGAAAGCCAGCAGGGAACTGAAGCCGTGGTGTGGTGAGGCCCTCAAGAGCACGCTGGCAAACAGTAATAAAGTCGGCTCCAGTGGAGAAGCGGAAGGAGTGGGCTACTGAAAGCACGAGATGCAGGTTTTGCTGCGAGTGGAGGCAGAAGGCATGAAGGGGATAGGAGGAAACGAACAGGAATGTGGGGCAGTGGTGAGGTTAGGCCCTCTAAGCCACTCTGGCAGACAATGATGAAGTTGGCTCTGGTGGAGAGGTGAAAGGAGTGGGCTATGGAGTGCATGAAATGCAGGTCGTTGTCGTTTTGATGGATTGTAAACGTGGGGTGAGCGAAAGAGAAGAAACACGGGAAGAAGGTTGAAGGGAAGGCACCGGCAGGAAAGAGGGGAAGAGGGTGGGAGGGAAGGAACAGAGAAATCAGGGGAAGTGGGTGAGAGAAAACACCAGACCATTCTCTCTGCATTCACTATCACCACTTTACTAAACCCACCAGCACCATTTTCCACCAAACATTCCCACTCTGCACTCACCAGAACGAGCTTGGTTCGGGCAGCCTGAGCGGCGAACAGTTGTCGGTGCAGCTGCTTGGGAGTCAGATTGCAAAGCACTGCCCATTCCGCATGCGACAGCACATGCCGCTGCTGTTGCTGCTGCTGCACATGCTGCTGTTGTTCCGATTGTGCGATGCTCGCATCAGCTTCTCCATATCCGTCTGCTTCCCCATCCCCACGCGCATCTGCGAAGCCCTCAGCAACCTCACGAGTTGCATTAACTTCACGACCAGATGAGGCTGTTGCTGCTGCTACGGCTGCCGAGCCTGACGGCTTAGCAGTGGCTGCAGCAATCTTAGCTCGCTCCTCCAGTTCCTGGAAAGAGGATACGTGAGAATTGGTGAACGAGAAAAGAGGTTTTGTGACGTCTTGATGCGAATAAATACACTGGACGGAAGGAAAAATAGAGGTGGAGCGATAACTATGGCTGCTATAGGGAGCGCAGGGAGGCAAAGGATGGCAATTGGGGAGCAATAATTGGATGCAATAGAGCTTTATTATTATAATGTGTTCTAGGAGGGTGCTGAGGCTGTGGATGCCTAGCATGTGAAAAGCTAAGTGCAATGCAATGGCGTGGTTAGTACCTCAATCTGTCACTCAAGATGCCCCAATCACAGCTAGATGCCCCAATCACAGCTAGATGCCCCAATCACAGCTAGATGCCCCAATCACAGCTAGATGCCCCAATCACAGCTAGATGCCCCAATCACAGCTAGATGCCCCAATCACAGCTAGATGCCCCAATCACAGCTAGATGCCCCAATCACAGCTAGATGCCCCAATCACAGCTAGATGCCCCAATCACAGCTAGATGCCCCAATCACAGCTAGATGCCCCAATCACAGCTAGATGCCCCAATCACAGCTAGATGCCCCAATCACAGCTAGATGCCCCAATCACAGCTAGATGCCCCAATCACAGCTAGATGCCCCAATCACAGCTAGATGCCCCAATCACAGCTAGATGCCCCAATCACAGCTAGATGCCCCAATCACAGCTAGATGCCCCAATCACAGCTAGTCGACGCACTACCTTGATCCCCCTCATCGCCCAATACTCACACCCACCACTCACACCCACCACTCACACCCACCACTCACATTCCCGCGCTGTATCAGTTCGGCCAATCGTAGCTCCTCTTTCGCCGGCAGTAACGAGCGCGGCTGCGTCCAATCAACGTTCATCGCTGTTTCACCCCCGCCATAGTCACGAATCAGCGCATCCACCTCCTCCTCGCTCATCGTGATCCCCTCAGCCGCTCCCCCGCCCGCGGAACCTCTTCTCGCTCCGCCACTTCCTTTAACGCGCGGGTAAGCTGAAGCGGCTTCCGCCTCCGCTTCCGATTCCACTTCCGCTTCCGCCTGCCAATCTTCAGCCATTCCCAGCGCGTTTCCGCTCATCCGCAAGCCCATCGCGAGCGCGGCTGCGCGCAACCTCCTCCGCATCGCCCGCCTCCGCGCTGCAGGATCCATTTCCGCCACGGTTCCGCCCAGATCGGTTTCCACCTCCGCCACCACCCCTGTTGGCAGCTTCGTCGCAGAAGCGGACAAAAACCGCTGTCCCTTGACAAGTTTCCGCCTGGCGACGCGCCCGGCATCGCTGGGGCTGAGATTCCACGCGGCCTCGAGCTGCTCGCGCACTTCCCGCGTGACTTCTAACCGCGCCGCGTCGCCGTCATGATCGTTGTCAGAGCTCTTCGAAGCCTGCGACGACGACGACGAAGATGACGACGCAAAATCAGCGTCATCTAGTCGCACGAGGAACGCTGCGACCTCTGCGACGAGCGACAGACCCGTCGCAGAGGGGTCGAGCTTCATGAAGGGAGCACCAGCAGCAGTGTCATAAGGATTAGAAGCGTTATCTACCTGCTGGTTTGATAAGCGTTTAAGCAAATCTTCATCGGTTAAGGCCAATTCGTCTGGGTTCGAACCGGTCCTGCGCTTTCTCTGCCTTCTCGTTCTCTTCTCCCCGGAACCTGCAGCTGCTGCGGTACTGATGCTCGTCGCCGGCGGCGACTCGAGTGATACGGCCACGGCGACCGGCGATGTGGCCGCAGTCCGCTTGGCGGAAGAGAGCGTTCGAGAGTGAATTTTCTCAAGGAAACCATGATCATGATGGTTCTTGGAATTCCTTTTCAGAGAGTTTCGTGACGTCTCAAAACTAAGCGAATTTCTGTGGCCGACTCTAAATCCGCCAGGTTTCCCGCCGCTGATCAAGGACAGGCTGTGATTTATTGCTACTCGGTGATGACGTGGCCGCGAGGGTGTGAGAGCGGAGGAACAGACGATTGGGGAGCTCGACGCGACATGCGCCGCCATGAGGGAAGTTTCGAAGAATCTTACAAGAGATGCAAACCGAAATTTGAGTCGGCAATGTCTGGTGCTGGAGCAGGTCTAGACTCCACTAGAATACTTCATAAGTGAAATCTCATATGGCCGTAGGCACAAGCGGGAAACAGCTTCTGCAGTGAATGCTGCTTGTGCTCATGTGTGGTCGAGAAACTCAGTGATAGCAGCTTATCTCTGACGAACAGCACAATGAGAGTGTCAGGAAGGTGACGGAGCGTCAGGAACGGTACGCAACGTTGTAAAAGAAATTACCTTCGGTTCTATGAGATGTCAAACTTCTGCTCCAGCCATTCTATTCACATTCAGCGTTTACTTGAGAGAAGTTGGAGAGATTAGGCGTCAGGCTCTTGGGGGAGAACGACGTATTGCCCGTCGCAGATTGGTGGACCTGCGTCCGCGCTGCGGTGGTGGCATTCTCGAACAGCTCGAGGCGGCGTGGCGAAAAGCCCGATGGACACGCAAGCAGAACGGTGCAGAGTGCGGTTGAGCTGACCTGGAAATGACGAGGCACGTGGAGCGGATTGGATGGAAGCAATTTTGATTGTGTGGCGCGAAGAGTCTTCGAGAATGTCGACGACAACTCCAGCCAATCGAAGCGCGTCGCTTCGAAACATGTACCTCAACCACGCCAATGTGACGATCAGGAAGGAGTGACTGCAAAAGCTCGTTCTACCAACTAAGTATTTTTCTCGGAAATGTTACATGGCAACGAAGCAAACTATGCGAAATTGGCCAGAACCTGAATAAAGAATTTCAAATAAGAGTAATGACAACAATCCTGCTATACCCAGCAAGCTATGGTCCAGTCCCCAAGAAGGGAACTTCCTAGCATAAGCACTAATCCCCGTCATGCGGCAAGCTATCCTCTCCTTCGATTCCACCCTTAATAAAAACCCATTTCATTCCTGCTACTCCGTTGGCAGGCCACTCACACCCTCTTCCTCCAATCCCATCTTCTCAAGAGCATCCAACAGCCCCTTGCTCAGAGGCCGCTCTCTTACAATCCCCCTTCCTCCCCCCTCCTTCCCCTTCACAGCCCCCTCTCCCTCCTCCGCCTCCTCATCCTCATCCTCGGACCTTCTCAGCGCCCACCCGCCCCTCCGCCTGCTCCCAGGCGTTCCAACATTTACTTGCGTGGACCAAGGCGGAGACTCCCCACCACTTCTTGACTGGCGTTGACTTGCAGGTGTGCGTAACGGAGTGCTGACAGCACTGCCAGCGCCGATACTACCAGCAACGGCTGGGATCTCATCCTGATAGCGAGAAACTGGCGGCGCACCGTGGTCGGGGGCTGGGGAGGAGAGCGCCCGCGGGCTGCGCGCCCGGCGCATGGGGGAGGGGGAACGGGGGCGCAGGACGCGCGGCCCTCCCGTTCCAGCGGTGGCGGAGTTTGGCGCGCGACGGCTTGCGGGGGGGATCCCCGCGGGGAGCGCGGGGGAAGAGAGCTGGGAGGCGAGTGAGGAACGCAGCCGGCGGGTTGTGGTTGCAGAGCCGCCTTCATCAGCGGCATCGTAATGACGTTGCTGTGAGCCACGATGCTGCTGCAGGGACCAGGACACAGGAGATTAGCAAGGACGAACGGTCAGATTGGATAACAAGAAATCGACTGGAAGCAGGGGAACTTTGAGATTGCGCTGATCTACTTCAATCGTGTTTAACCCCTTACTCTCTCACCTCGCGAATAGCGTTAATAGCAGCTAGCAGTCCCGCGGGGTCCTTCCCCAGCACAGCGCCGATCTTTCCGCCAACCTGCCACTTGGCGCGGCTCCGCCTCCCCGTTCCGCCTTCCGCCAATACCCCTCCCGCGGATCCCGCCACACCGCCGATCGACGACGTGGAGCGGGGAATGGGAGACCTAGCGCGCGGGATGGGGGAGGTGGCGCAACGGACGAGTGCGGGAGCAGGAGCGGGTGCTTCCTCGGGGGAGTTGTGCGGCGTGGGCGCGGCGTAGAGGCTCAGCGATGACGTCAGCGTCGCCGAGCCCTTAACGGCGGACATGACGGTAGGCGAAGCAAGAACGGCCGCTCTGCGACGACGGAGAGGAGCCACGGCCTGCGGAGTATGGTCGCACGGGTCGCACAGGTCGAGGTGTGCGAAATCTTCGCCGCTGCCGCCGTCGTCGCCAGCGACATCTCCATACGTCGCAGAGATCGGTTCTTGGATGCTGAAGCAGCGCTGTATGTTGTGCTGCCTCGTCAGCGTCGCCTGGCTGCACGGCGATGTGACGCCATTCCAATTTGGCGAGCTGCTCTGCCTCGTCAGCTTCGACCGGCTCTTCGCGACAATCTCGGGGGTCTCCTCTTGGCACGGCGTTGAGAGAAGCAGCTTTGACACCTCGCTCCGAAGAGCTTCAGCGCCGTCATCATGTGCTCCATCGCCGGATTCGACCAGTCGCGAACCTTTAGAAGTCAAAGGTGCAGGAGTGCACGGATCAGCAGGCACGACGGGTGGCTTCGTAGGAAGCACAGCCGCATTTAACGGAGAAGGCTGAGTAGGCTTGCTGGAGGCAGTGAGCTCGGCTGACGTGTCGTTGGTGACGTCAGATAGAGCAGGTCGCGGTCGAGGATTTCTCGCAGGCTGTCGCTTAGAAGTTGTTGGCTTTCGCTGCGTTGGCATGGGTGTCGTCGTTCCTGCAGTAAATAAGAGTACATACTAGGTTTGCGAATTCGGAATACGGAATTTTACATAAACAGAGAGCGGAAGGAACAGAAGGGAAGGCGATAAAATGAAACTGGAAGCGGCCAGCAGGTGCTGCTAACCTGGCGGGACGGGACTGGAGAACAACTGAGCTCGGGCCCTGCTGCGAGTACGCACGCCCAGTACGGGTGTATCCACGGCCATCGCAGTTAGAATACTTTATGATGAATCTGTTTTGTGAGCGTCGCGAGAAATTTTCTTGTTAGTTACGGACTCAGTCGTAGCGCTGACAAAGTTAGGAGATTTCCTTACTAACCTTAAAACTACCGTTAACGAAATTTTTCTAGAGCCAAAACGAGCAAGTACTACTAGGCAACTACCAGAATGAAGAACAAGGCAAGGGCTAAGGTCTGAATGAGCTAGCGCGAGTTCTCGTACTCAAGCAGGTAGTCTAGTCGCAAGGCCAAGAATTGGCTGCTATCGAATTCTGAAGCAGGCGATTGCAAGTGAAAGGCTGGGTGGGAAAGTAAAGAGCAGACAGGCAGCAGCACCCAGGCGTGGAACGGACGACGACGAATTCTACTCATGCTCCAATGACCGTTCGATTGTGAGCGTGAATGGTGGGATCAAATTTTCTGACGGCCACGATGAGTTGCTTGTGTTCATGGGTGAAGGGAAAGACCTCTCTGATGGTTTGTCTTGCCGCCATGCCGTTTGAATTTGAAGCGAAAAGCGAAATCCTTCCCCGCCGCGCGCGCTGCGACTGGAACTGCAAACGGCTCGGACCAAAAACTTACCGAAATTCCACGAGATTGTCACGATGAGCAGTGTATTGTTGTTATAAATCTATATGAAAAATGGTGCATAATCTAGTCTGGTTGCGGACTCGCAACCTTAACGGCGCTTTATCGAGAATATACCGAGCCTACTTTGTCAGTTTCGCGAACCATGTGTCAGAAGAGACAGAACTATTGGCTCGGTCCCAGGTTTTTGTTCGCACCAATAAAATCTCCCTGCCGAGCCAGGCTCTGGTAACACCTTGGCGGGAATCTGAATTTGACTGGGAATTCGAACGAAGCACGGTGGCGTTGTGGGAAGAAAGGGATGTGAGCCGTGGGATCAGGAGGAGTTCTGGTGTGTGCTGTTTGTTCGCCATGCCTGGAAGTGTGCCTAGTCTTGGTTGCTGACCTGTGCCAGCCGAACAAGCATGCCGGTCGGATGGGGTGCTGGTCGTAATGCTCTCAGGACGTGTACTTATAGACGTGAATTGAGTGTTATTTTTACAGAACTTACTTGAGGGTCTTACTGTGACCGTGAAGAATATTCAAAAGCCGGACTTAGGCCTGAGGCCAGTGATCATGTTTTATTCCAAAGCCATACTCAGCCCTCTTCTGTATCTGTAGGGTCATCGGAAACGATACCAACTTCAAACGCCATCCATATTGTACGAGACCTCCAGGTTTACTTCAAATTCCAAGTAACAGCCAGCCGAGACTGGTTTCCAGATTCAGCAGCGAAGATATGGCTCCTTGCTACTTTGAAAATCGAGAGCAATGCACAGCGGAGACAGGTTATTTCTCTCGTTCTTCGATTTTCGAAGTTTGTGCATGACTGATGAACGGCTCACATGGTCGGGACTTGGCAGTAGTTGCCACGGGTGAGAGAAACCGTGTTCTGCTGAATCGTGTTGCAGGTGCTCATCTCGAGCACCTCCGCACAGATTCTTTCTTTCTTTTACGCGAACGAAAACAATAGACAGCTTGTACTATACTTGGCTGTGGGCCTTCCCATCTTCAAGCTTTTCGCGACTTTTACGACTGCTGCGATTGCCTTCTCGTAGCTTGTACATTTATTTTCAGCCATTTCGGTGGAATGCGTTTTGTGTATTTATAACCAGCGACTACGCTCTGGCACATTTTGGCTTTGCATCTGGTGACAGATATTCACAGGATCGTCTCCATGGGATATACCTTCTCCTTCTCGTTCAGTCTATACCCTTCCTCTCACCGTCACCGCCAATAAGCCTGCGTATTTGTACCAGGCATAATCTGACCCATTTCAAAATACGTTTCCCGTCGCCTCAGCATGGGTTCTGCCTTGTCCGTTCCGTTCAGCCTCCGCTCTTCGTCTCGCCTTCACCGTCAGGCATCACCCTCGCGAGATCGCCACCGGGCGGGTTACCACAGTGCTTCGTCCAGATCTAGGGAACCTCGCAGCGGGAGAACGGACGGTCGAGATTCCCCAGGGCTATGTGTCAGCAACGGAGCTCGGAAGGTCAGGAAACGGAAAAAACGTGGAAACTTTTTTTGGCTGTTCTGTTGCGGCCGGGAAAGCGGAGGATCCGTAGCTGACATTAGCTCCATCCCCAGCTGCCCGGTTTCGGACGACGGCCGTCAGAATGTAACGGAATCCGTCGTCTCTCTGACGGCGGCCGACAGACCGACTGGAGAGCCGTCAGTGCCGCCAGAGAGCGCGGCAGAAATGGAGACACCTAAAACGGCATCTGGTCGGTGGCTGCTGGATAGTGGCTTCCTAGAAGATTCCTCGCACGTGTTAACTTCGTTGTCGCAACACCAGCCAGACGCGTCGCAGGCGATTCCGTCGTCGCATGCCAGCGGTTGCTATGTCGCTCACGCCTCGTCCTCCGTCCAGCAGTGCATGAACGATCCAGCAGGCGACGTTTCCGCAAAAGAGATTTCACACATCCCTGCTCCAGGCGATCGGTGCGACTTATGCGAAGCCGGCGACATTCGCGAGCTGTGCGACGCCGTTCTCCCACCGGCGACAGCAGGGTGTGAGGGTACAGCGACAGGAGCGGAATCCGAGCAGAGAGTGGGTGATGGGGATAGGTGGGGAGAATGCGGTGAGGCGGAAGAAGCGCGCGCACAGCGGGGGAGGAACCCCACCCCCGAGGCGGTCGACGTTGCAGCAGGAATGAGCCCCGGCGAAGTCTTTGCGCGGACTCTGAAGCTAGAGGCGGAAGAAGCGTGCGCGCAGCGGCGGCGGAGCCCCACCCCCGAGGGAGTCTCCGCGCGGACTCCGAAGCTAGAGGCGGAAGAAGCGTGCCCGCAGCGGAGGCGGAGCCCCACCCCCGAGGCGATCGATATGATGAGCCTGCTGCAGGGGCTCAGCGACGGGGAGGAGGAGGCGGAGGAGGGAGCGGAGGCGGACGGGGAGGGGGAGGAAGACGCTGAGGGTGGAAGAGAAGCGGAGGGGGAGAGGGAGGAGGCGGGAGAAGAGGCGGATGGGGAGGAGGGTGAGGGGGAAGAACGCGACAGGCAAGGGGGTGAGGTGGGAGAGGAAACAGACGGGGAGGAGGGTGAGGCGGGCGGAGTGGTGGACTGGCAGGGGGATGGCGAAAAGGAGGGGGAAGAGCGAGCAGCCGTGCGGCAGCAACAGGGGCATGGAGGGAGTGAAGCAGACCAGTCCCACTTGCCGCCCCCGCAGTCCCAGCATTCTCCTCAATGCCAACATTCTCCGCAACCCCAGCAGCTTTCACAGCCTCAGCTACAGGAGCAAACTCAAGAGCCGGAACGAACTCAGGAGCTGCAGCAACGTCAAGATTCGCAGCGTTGTCAAACGGACCACGAGCTGGGTGCTGATAATGGCCACGACGAGCAGGTGCTGTTAGCTCCTCGTGCGGTTGAGTGCGGTGGGGAGGGTGTGGCAGCCGTGGAATGGAATGCTGTTGGTCACCAATGCGGTGTAGAAGATGGTGGCACTGTAGTGGCTGTAACGGAGTGTAACACTGTGACGGAGTGTAGCACGGTAACGGATTGTGGTTCTACCGCGTATTCGAGCTCCGTGGCTTGTTCTACAACCGCAGGGCCGGGGAAGCAGGCGGAAGGGCATGCGGAAGAGGACAGGGGGAGAAGCAGCGATCAGGGTGAGGGGGGGAATGGGGGAGGTAAGGCGCAGAGTCGCAGGGCGGGAGGGGGGGAAGGCGCAGGGGGTAAGCGCAGGGGCAGGGGCATGGGCAGGGGCAGGGGGCGGGGGAGGGGAGGGGTTATGGGCGGGGTACGGGAGTGGAAGGGGAGGAAGAGGGGTGGAAGCGGAAGCGGGAGAGGTGGTGGGGAAGGGGGGTGGAGAGGAGGCGGGAAAGAGTTATGGTTGGACGATGAATGTTTGGAGGAGTTGGGTGCGGTGGAGGTGTGTTTGGAGGAGAGCGTTCAGTCGAACGATGTGGAGGTGGAGGGGATGGGGGGGAGGGGCGGGGGAGGAGAGGGGGGGAGCGCGGTGGAGTGGGGAGGCGGGGGCGAGGGGGAGGAGGTTGACGGGGAGACGAGTGGGGAGAGCCTTTTGAAGGGCACGAGAGGGGAGGAAGTGAAGAAGGGAGAGGAGGGAGAGGAGGGAGAGGAGGGAGAGGAGGGAAAGGAGAGGGAGGAGGGAGGGGAGGGAGAGGAGGGAGAGGAGAGAGAGGAGGGAGGGGAGGGAGAGGATGGAGAGAAGGGAGAGGAGGGAGAGGAGAGGGGGGAGCGAAATGCGCGTTTGGGGGATCTAGAGGATGGTGAGGGAGTGGATGATGGGAAGGGTGTGGCGGAGGAAAGGGGAGTGGTGGATGGGGAAGGGGTAAAAGATAAGGAGGGGGCTGATGGCCGGGAGGGGTTGGAAGATGGGAAGGGACCGGAGGATGGGGAGGAGATGAGGGATGTTGATAAGATGGGAGGGAAGAACGAGGAGGGAGAGGATGGGGGGAACTGGGAGGGTGGGAAAATTTGGGTTGACAGAGAGGAAGGTGAGGAGAGGGGGAGAGACAGACGGATGGACGACGAGGGAGGGTTGGGAGATGCGAGGAGGGAAGAAAAGGAGGTCGAAGGTGGTGCGGCAGGAGGAGAGGCGAGGCGGAAAGCAGGGGAGACTGACGCAGATGGGGCAGGGGGGCAGACGAGGAGGAGAGAAGAACAAGGGGGTGAAGCAGAAGGGACAGGAGGCGAGGCGAGGAGGGAGGATCAGGGGCGGGGCGGAGGTGGGAAGGGGCGGTACTGGGGGCTGGTGAGCATGGGCGTGCTGGCGTGGTTGAGAGAGGAGGGGACGGAGGAGGGGAGGGGGGAAGTGAGGGAGGAAGTGAGGGAGGAAGTGAGGGAGGAAGTAAGGGAGGAGGGGAAGGAGGAGGTGAGACAGGAAATGAGGGAGGAAGAGAGGGAGGAGAGGGAGGAGAGGGAGGAGAGGGAGGAGAGGGAGGAGAGGGAGGAGAGGGAGGAGAGGGAGGAGAGGGAGGAGAAGGAGGAGAGGGAGGAGAGGGAGGAGAGGGAGGAGAGGGAGGAGAGGGAGGAGAGGGAGGAGAAGGAGGAGAGGGAGGAGAGGGAGGAGAGGGAGGAGAGGGAGGAGAAGGAGGAGAGGGAGGCGGAGCACGTAGCAGGTGCAGGGGGACTGGAGGAGGATGAAGACTTGGTGGAGGATGGGGAGGTGAGAGGGGTGACTCCCCTCACGGCAGGCAGCAGCAGCGCCATGGCTGCAGAGTACGAGCAGCACGTGCGGAGGGACGAAGATTCGGGCGCTTTGAAATCCCTCCTGGCGGAAAGCAGAGCGGTGGTAACGCGTGGAGGGTGGGAAGAGGACGAGGAGGGAGGGCGTGGGTTAAGCCCTCTCCTGGCGAGCAGCAGAATAGCCATGAGCAGAATGGAAGAGGCGTGGAGGGAGGGCGCTGGTGAGAGGAGTGCCGAGAGTGTGGTTGTGATTAGAATGGAGGCGGACGGGGAGGAGGAGGAAGAAGAGGAGGGTTCAGGGGTGGTGCCCATGCGTTGTGCGGAAGGGAATGGGATGGGGGAGGGCGGTGGGAGCAAAGAAGGGGTTGAGGGAGGAGAGAGAGGCGAGAGGGCTGGGGAAGGAGAAGGGGACGGGTTGTCTGGGAGTAAACCAGACATGATATCAGAGTTAGCTCAGAAGTCATCAGAGGCCGAGGGAAGCGAGGCGGCTAAAGAGATGACTTCTGAGTCGACTCAAAAGTCATCTCAGAAGTCATCAGAGGCCGAGGGAAGAGAGGCGGCTAAAAGGGCTGGCAAGCGAAAAGGGGATGAATCAGCTGGGAGTAGATCAAAGCAGGGCAGAGGTGCTGCAAAGGAATGGGTTGGAGGGGGTGAGAAAGCCGTTGTTACTGCTACTCGGGCTGCTGGTACCGAGGGAGAGCAGGGAGAGCAGCGAGAGCAGAGAGAGCAGAGAGAGCAGAGAGAGCAGAGAGAGCAGAGAGAGCAGAGAGAGAGGTGTGTGTTTGACCCTGACCTGCTCGCGTCAATGGAGGATGTGTTTAATCGCCACAGCGCTGCTGACTGGAGCAAGGTCACCCCGCCCATCAGCCCAGGGAAAGGCGAAAGCACCAAGGAGATGCAAGGCAGCACGGACCAGCTGTGTGTGGCTCGAGGTGTTACAGTGGGAGAGGGGGCGGGACAGAGAGCTCGCCCCACCCTAGAGAAACTGCCAAGCCTAGAGAGTGTGCCACCGAGCCTAGCGGAGGTCCGGAGTCTTGAGGATGCGGAGCTAGCAGAAGACCTGCAGGTCCCTGAGATTGTGTCGAGTGTACAGCATGCGCCGAGCCTACAGGAGGTGCCGGGCCTACAGGAGGTGCCGAACCTACAGGAGGTGCCGAACCTACAGGAGGTGCCGAACCTACAAAAGGTGCCGAGCCCAGAGGAGTATATGAGTCCAAAGCTGCCTCCCAGTCCAAGGGGTGGAGTTACGAAATACATCAGCCCCTATAAACTCACAAGCCCCTACAAGCACACAAGCCCTTATAAACACACAAGCCCTTACAGTCACAACAGTTCGTTTAAGCATGAAAGCCCTTACCAGCGCCACCCGTACAAGCACAGGCGCCTAAAGTCAGACATGTCTGCAAGCCCAGCGAGCCCAGGCGCCCACGCACTGATGCAAGCACACGCACCTGCAGTCCGGTCTCACAGCTCCGGTAACTCCCATAGTGGTTCCCATTCTGCTTTCATGCATTCTGGTGCGTCCCCACGTGTACCTGCACACGTGTGCACTAGTCCCCAGCAGCGTGACCATTCTGCTCCCTGTAGTGGCAGCCTCTGTTCTCAAGGTAGTCCTGGCCGGCTGCTTTTCCTCTCTATAAGCAGTCTTCGATTCTCTGCTGGCGCTGCTTCCAGTGCGCATACCGCTGCACGGGACAATCGCTCTGGTAGTGGTGGCGGCCTTGCCGCTGCTGACGCTGCGGTTGGTGCTGCTGGTGCCGCTGTTGGTGGTGCCAGCTGGCGGATTGGCGTGAACAGTGCGTCTCTGCGTCGTCTGCTCTCCTCTGCTGCCTTGGACGCTGAAGGTGGAAGGGCAGAAGAGGAAAAGGTTGAATTGGATAGTGGTGGGGGAAAGGCGGAAGATATTGGGGGAGGGGTGGGGGCAGCAAGGGCAGGGGATGGGGGAGAAGCAGTGACGCGTGAGGCAGCAGCAGCAGTGGTGATGAGTGCAGGAGTGGCAGCGGCGGGGGTGGGGGAAACGCAGGGGGAACGAGGAATGGGGGACTGGGATTGCAGAGGCATGGGTGGAGATGCAGGAACAGCTGCAGAAGCAGCAGTAGCAGAGGAATCAGCAGCAGGGAGAGAAGGGGAAGGAGAGGAATTGCGGATTGCTGGAAGTGGGGAAGAGAAGGGAGTAGGAGCACTATTGGCACCAGCATCGGTTGCAGATTTGGTTGCTGCTTCGATTGGGACACAGATTATAGTTGTCGAAGCAACAGCAGCAGATGCAGCAGCAGCAGAAGCACCAGCAGCTGCCGAAGCAACAGCAGCAGCAGCAGCAGCAGCAGAAGCAGCAGTAACAGTGTTACCGACTGCAGTGGCTTCACTCCCAGCAGACGCGCAGGTGGCAGCAGCAAGTGTGCTTTTGTCCTCATTTGAGAGGAGGTGCCCGCCAGGCGGGGAGCGAGGGGTGGTGCTGTATGTGACAACTCTGCGGGCTATGAGGAGCAACTTCGATGCGTGCTGCGCTGTCAGGCAGATGCTCAAGGTGAGATAAGTGAGAGGCGGCTGGTGGAGGGGGGACGAGATAGGTGGTTGGAGCGGCAGCATGAATGTGCAAGCGAGATGAGGGAAGCGCCGCTCCAACCACCTATCTCGTCCCTTCCTTTCCTTTTGGGAAGCGCTCAAACGGAATGCTGCACTGGCCACGATCCACTCGCCTCGTCTCACCCAACGCACTTCTTCCCCTCTCCTCCTTGTTGTTCTCTCCCTCTCCCTCTCCCTCACCCTCTCCCTCTCCCTCTCCCTCTCCCTCTCCCTCTCCCTCTCCCTCTCCCTCTCCCTCTCCCTCTCCCTCTCCCTCTCCCTCTCCCTCTCCCTCTCCCTCTCCCTCTCCCTCTCCCTCTCCCTCTCCTCTCCCTCTCCCTCTCCCTCTCCCTCTCCCTCTCCCTCTCCCTCTCCCTCTCCCTCTCCCTCTCCCTCTCCCTCTCCCTCTCCCTCTCCCTCTCCCTCTCCCTCTCCCTCTCCCCTTCCCCTTTCCTCGTTTTTGTCCTCATGTCTCGGGGCGCTCTGAAGGTTGTTCCAGTCACCAGTATTTCCCTTCCTTCCTCTCTCCCTTCTCCTCCCATACAGGCGCACGGCATCCCCTTCAATGAAAGAGACGTGTCACTCCATCTGCCCTACCGCCAGCAGCTCAGAGCCCTCATAGGCTGCTCCTCCCTCTCCCTCTCCCCGTCCCGTTCCTTCCCTTTCCCCCCCACCCCCACCCATTCAGGCCCTAGCCATCCCCTTCCACGAAAGGGACGTGTCACTCCATCTGCCCTACCGCCAGCAGCTCAGAGCGCTCATAGGCCGCTCCTCCCTCTCCCTGCCGCACCTCTTTGCTGCTGGCCGCTGCCTTGGGGGCGCTGCTGCTGTGCTGCGCCTGGGGGAACAGGGGCTGCTGCTGCCGCTGCTCGCTGCTGCTCTGGCGGACGGTGCTGGTGAGGGAGGAGCAAAACCGGCTGGAGAGGCAACGGTGGAGGCAGCAGAAGCAGGAGCGAGAGGAGGAGTAGCAGCAGCTGGGAAAACATTAGGTTCAGCATTCGAGTGTGTAGGCCCAGTGGCCACGGCAAGTGGAGCAGCGATTGCAGAAGAAGGAGCAGCGCCAGCAGCAGCAGATGCGGCAGCTTCTGATGAAACTACCGGGGCTAGCGGTGCTGCTGCTGCTGCTGCTGCTGCTGCTGCTGTGGTTGCTTCAGAAACTGCATCTGATGCTGCTTGTGCACCAATGAGCACAGCCCCTGAAGAGGCAGCAGCAGGCATCAATGCTGGTGCTACCACGGGCAGAGTCAGTCATGCAGAAGCAGCAGAGGGTGGTGACTCTCATGGCACTGTGACTGTAGAGCCTTGTAAGACTGGTGTGACTGGCGCTGCTGTGACTGGCGCTGCTGTGGCTGGGTCTGGTGTGGCTGGGTCTGGTGTGGCTGGGTCTGGTGTGGCTGGGTCTGGTGTGGCTGGGTCTGGTGTGGCTGGGTCTGGTGTGACTGGCAGATCCGGTGTGAGAAGAGCACTGTTCCAGGGAAGCAACAGCGGGGCACAAGGTAATGATGCTGGCGGCAGCGGCGCTGCCAAGGATACTCGCACTAATTTCACTGCTTTGGCCGGCCCTGCTGGGGTAGGCTTTGCTGGGGTAGGCTCTGCTGGGGTAGGCTCTGCTGGGGTAGGCTTTGCTGGGGTAGGCTTTGCTGGGGTAGGCTTTTCTGGGGTAGGCTTTTCTGGGGTGGGCTCTGCTGGGGTAGGCTCTGCTGGGGTAGGCTCTGCTGGGGTAGGCCGCTCTGTGCCAGCCTTTGCTGTGCCAGCATCTGCTTTTCTTTCTGGCTGTTATGGCAGCAGCTGTGGCAGCAACAGCGTGGCGAGTGGAGGCGCATTTGGGGAAGGTTACAGTGGCATGTCTTGGGAAGGTGCATCTGGGGAAGGTGCATCTGGGGAAGGTGCATCTGGGGAAGCCTACAGAGGTACATCTGGGGAAGGCAGTGGAGGTATATCTGGGGAGGTTTACAGAGGAACGTATGGGGAAGGTACATCTAGGGAAGGCTGTAACCAGAGCAGCAGCAGAGATAGCAGCAGCGGGATGGGGTCTGCTGCTTGCTTCCCACCTCGGTCCCTTTCCTGCAACGCGGCTGCTGTTGCTGACGTGGCAATAGCTGCTGCTGCCAGGCGTGCGCTTGCCCGTCCAGGTGGCAGCGGCGGCAACCTGAGCCGCGCCACATCAGCGCGTACACTCTCTGCAACCGCCAGCCATTTTACCAGTCGTGCTGCCAGCCGTGCTATCAAGATGCATGCAGCGCAGCAAGGAAAGAGCTGCTGCACTTGTGGCGGGTTGAGGTATCTGATTTGCACTCTCTGTGCGGGCAGCCGCGAGGTGCTATCCAGGGATGGTTGGTCTGTAAGGCTCTGTGTGCATTGTGACCCTCGTGGAATCATCGTCTGCCCTCGCTGTAGAGATCTGTGAAGTGCAAGGCAGCAAGGAAAAGGCTGCTTCTCCTGTGGTGGGTTGAGGTATTGTATCTAGTCTGCACTCTCTGTGGGGGCAGTCGCGAGGTGCTATCCAGGAATGGCTGGTCCGTAAGGTCCTGTCCTGTGTGCTCTGCGATCCTCGTGGAATCATATTCTGCCCTCGCTGTAGAGACTTGAAATCTATCGGTGTGGTTACCAGGGCCAGTTGCAAGGTGCTGTCTCGAGATGGCTGGTCGGTAAGGGTCTGTGTGCATTGTAATCCTCGAGGAATCATAGTCTGCCCTCGCTGTAGGGATTTGTTAAGTACATTGAGGTTGAAGTGATTTGAACAAATTGCCTCCTCACTGTCTGGGTGGGTACCATAGTTGTGAGTCGAGAGGTGTTTTCCCGGGACGGCTGGTTCCATGTGCCTGCGCGCATTGCGACCATCGCGGAGAGGAAATCGGTTTGGCAATGTTGTAGGGTAAGTTATATCGGGTTACACTACCGTACCATGGTTGGTAACCGCACTGTGCGGGACCGGTCACATCTCAGGAAGACGGGTGGCCTGGGGAGGGACTCAGGTATTACCGTACGTGGATATGAGATGAGAGGCTCAGTACCCGGGAGCAGCAATTCTGTGTGATGAGGCGATTTTTGAGTCGACTCAAAAATCGCCTAAAAAATCGTCTTTTGAGTCGCCTCAAAAATCGCCTCAAAAATCGTCTTTTGAGTCGACTCAAAAATCGGCTCAGTACCCGGGAGCAGCAATTCTGTCATGAGATGTGTACTATGTACGTATCTGGTACAGAACAGATCAAATACGGTAATGCACTATATACAGGTTCCGTTCCGTACCATGTGTCTACATAACAGGCGAACTTATAAAAAGAACAGCCCAAGTGTAGCCTTGAACGCTAGCTAGCCCCCAAGTTCAGCATCCATCCCACCACAAACCAAGCCAACTGCACACCATAGCAAGATTTCATGCTCTTATTCCATGCCTCCGCGTATCGCCTTCAAAGTTCCCAAGTAGGAAACCCAAACCAACCCAGCCCAACCAGCCAAATCCAACCCAACATGACCCAACCAGCCCACTTTGAAACCCTTCAGCCCACACTCCTCCTCGGGGCAAGTCGAAGGCCGCCTTCTCTTCCTCCCATGCCACGACCTTCATGCACGTCAACAGCCCTTTTCAGCTACACTCTTCCTCAGCGTACTACAACGGCCTTCTCTGCTCTCTCTACCCATAGACCTAGGCTTTATTACAACCCACACGTCACCTCCTCCTCTTCCGTCACAGCCACCTCCTTACAGCACTGCAGAGGGCCTCGTGTCTCGGGATGTGCCATGGTTACTTCTCATCCAACTCAGAAACTCAAATCTTCTCCTCTTGCATCTCCATCAGGCCTGCTCACCACTCCGCATCCCCTTGCATCTTGAGATGCCTCACATCTTCTCCTCCCCCTCCTCCTGCATCTCCTTCAGGCACTTCAAGAGCCGTCCGCTCACTCTCACCCTGCCTTTCCCCGCTCTTCCACCCATCACCCTCTTCAGCACAATTTCCTGCTGCTCACGTCTGCTCGCTATTCCCTCCGCCCATGTGCCTCGCCGCCTGCCCCCACGCACTCCCTCAGTCGCTTGCACCGACCGGGAATGAGAACCCTTGTGCTGATGCAAATGCCCCTTGCCGCCACCCGCTCTTTTAGCGGCCTGCACGGCCTGGGGAGGAGAAGCCCTTTGTCGAATCAGAAGCCTCCTGCTGCCAGCCACACCTGCTTGCATCAACCCCCTCCTCAACACTCCCTTCTGCTGCTGACGCCTGCTCACCACTCTCTCCACCCCAGTCCGTCCAGCCTGCATTACTCTCTGCAGCACACCCCCCTGGTGCTCGCGCCTGTTCGCTATTCTCTCCGCCCATGTGCCTCTCCGCCTGCCCCCACCCACTCCCCCAGCGGCTTGAATGGAGTGGGGAGGGGAAGCAACGACCAGACACCCTCTCCTCCCCTCCCCCTCCGCTTCTGCCCTCCACACTATCCGGGGAATCCCCTCTTCTGTCACTTCCCCTTCCTCCACCTCCCCCTCCTCCCCCTTCCCCCCATCACGTGCATCCCATTTCTCCCCCTCCTGCCCCTCCCCCGCTTCCTTTATCCCCAGCACCTCCCCCTCCACCCTTTCGTCCACCTTTACAAACTTCTCCGTCCCAGCGTTGGCTTGCGTTGACCAGGCGCCAGCACCAGCATAGTCAGCATCCAAGTCAGCAGCAGCAGAGTCAGCATCCAAGTCAGCAGCAGCAGAGTCAGCAGCAGCAGAGTCAGCAGCAGCAGAGTCAGCAGCAGCAGAGTCAGCAGCAGCAGAGTCAGCAGCAGCAGAGTCAGCAGCAGCTGAGAGGGCACCTGGAGGGGAAGAATCTGCAGTACCAACTGGGAGGCGTGTCCCGCGCGCCACGGGGGAAAGGGGGCGCGGAGGGGGGAGGTCGCAGCTATCCGCGTGCGCAAGGAGGCGAGGCTTCTTGGCTTGAGTGGATTGGGAGGTGGTGGAGCGAGCGGTTAGCCCCTTGCCTGTCCGCACTGTCCGCACTGTCCGCACTGTCCGCACCGTCCGCACTGCCTTCTCTGCCAGCATCATAGGGTCTGCCTGTACGGCGTGCTCTGCGTGCTCTGCTTCTTTCACCAGCGGCAGAGCTCGGGCATGATAGCGCCAGTAACTGCGTGCTGGCAGGGACAGCTGACGCTCCAGCGCGGTGACGATACCCTCGCTATTCACCTGCCACGTGGCACGAGACCGCTTCCCCGCGCTCCCTCCTCCTGCGCCTGCTGCTGCCACAGTCACTGCCGCTGTTGACGCTGCTTCTCCTGCGGCTGTTGCCGCCGGTAGCGGCGGAAATGGCGCCCTCCGCACTGACAAGGCGCGGGCATTCGGGCGTGACGCGCTCCCCCCCTTCGCGTTGGCTCCTTCAGCGTCGTTCGCGCGGACGAAAGAGGGTCCTGCTGATGTGGCCGTGCGAGGGGCAGCACGACTGGTCTCAGCGGGAGGGGACGCAGTCGCGGTCGCATGCTCAGCAGTCGCAGTCACAGTCTCAGTCTCAGTCGTATTCGCATTCGCAGTCGCAGTCGCAGTCGCAGTCGCAGTCGCAGTCGCAGTCGCATTCGCAGTCGCAGTCGCAGTCGCAGTCGCAGTCGCAGTCGCAGTCGCGGTCGCATGCTCAGCAGTCGCAGTCACAGTCTCAGTCTCAGTCGTATTCGCATTCGCAGTCGCAGTCGCAGTCGCAGTCGCAGTCGCAGTCGCAGTCGCAGTCGCAGTCGCAATCGTCGCCAGAGTGTGGGGAGTCTCAGCTATCGGAGGCCCTCCGGGGGTAGCGGTCTGACGGCGCCGCCCAGACAGCCACGACTTGCGCTTGCCGCCGATCATCTCGGGGGTTTCCGGGTCGTCCGAGGGATGCGGCGATGCGAGGAGGAGTTTCGACACCTCGCTGCGAAGCGCGGCCTCGCCAGCGTCACTGTCGTCGCCCTCGCCGTCCGCGTTCTCCGCGCTGTCCACGCCGAATACGCTGTCGTCACTGTTGTCGAGAGCACCGTGCAACGGCGTCATTGTCGTCAGCGAGTCACAGTCCTCACCGCCGTCGTCATTGTCGCTTCCATGCAGTATCAGATCTAACGTCCAGCCTCGAACAGCTTCAGGTATCTCGTCAGGTTCCGCCGCAGGTGTTGCTTCAGGTGCCAGCGCATGTGTAGCCACAGGTCTTGCCGCAGGTTGCGCACACTCTGAAGACGACCCAGGTAACGCAGGCGTCGCAGGCGTCGCAGGTGTCGCAGGCGTCACAGGTGTCGCAGGCGTCACAGGTAGCGAGGTAGGCACTTTGCTGCTAGTGGGCGAGGAAGTTACACTAAGCTGATTGGACGTGTCATTAGTGACGTCAGACAGAGCCGATCGTGGGATTCGAACAGTCTGTCGACTAGCAGTAGTACGGCGGATAGTAGCCATGGCGGCCAGAACCGTGCGAACGAATCGCACGATCAATGAAGTGCCTTTTGGAATGGACCGAGATCGATAAGAACAAGAAAATAAATAACGACAAGGGCGATCTTCGCTTCTGATTCTATTACTGGAAGCCTGTAAAAGAGCTAACGACGAGCGTGTTCTGGTGCTGAATTACTAGAACGAGCTGCTAGGAAATGTATGGACGAATATGCGATGATCCGAGTGTTGGACTAAGAAACTCGGCCTTTCCGGGATGAGAGAATGAGGAGCCCTGGGAGAAACGAGTCAAGAGTCGCAGGACGCTCCAAGTCGATGAAATTATAAGTTGTAAAAGTACGCTTGTTTGTCTTGACGACTCATCAAGCAGCAGAGCAGCGGAGGTGTGCCTAGAGATAAAGAGGCAAAGGAGGTTGAATTCGACGGATGGAAGGGTGGTCAGGTGCGTCTCTCACCGCACGATGTCCAAGACTATGGGATCGACGGCTAGATATGTGTGTTTGTTTGAAGTCAGTTTCAGGAATTGCCGCCAAGCCGTTTGAACCGAATATTGAACCCGTCGCTTGGCGGCAGCGGCTCGCGCCTCGGTCGAACAAATGGAATGCTGCATGTCCTCGTTTTGAGAGATCCATAATGACTCGTTAGTGCATTTTCTATGCATACATATCATGCTAGATTTCTTTGGAAAATAAAAAGATTCAAAACAAATCTTAGAATGCGTTAACATTATAGATAGTTATCATTATGATTTCTTGAAGAAGGCTTTTAGAATTCAGATAGCGGATATCGCTATTTGCATACAGCATTGTTACATCTGTTTTCGATGCCAGCTTGGTCGGGGTTACTGCCACGCGAGCACGCGCTTTCTGATCCATAGCGTGTGGCTGGATTTCGGGGGCTACCACGCCAGCGTGGCTCGGCGCTGGGCATGTGTGTGGAACTCATAATAGTTCGCGCCATGGGGTGTCAGTCAGCAATTCGCCCCTGAACCCATCTCACCTGCCAAAAATTACCAGGGAGTTGCCCGTCAAATTTACATTTCTTCGCTGGAGCGAACCACCTACCGTACTTCTGCTTCACTGCCCGTTTGCCGAAAGCAGCCCGCAGAAACAGCCGACGAACCAAAATTCGCATGGGAGAGAAAGCCCAACCAAATTCCAGTTGGCCTGCTGTACATTGGAAAAAATCCACGTGTTCCAATACCTCTGATCTGACCCGACCCTGTGTTCCAGTGCATCACCTAAATGTTTCCACTGCATCCCTTCTCATCCTAATCCATCCATATGAACCGAACCGGATACCTCGGAAGCACCTGTGGATTCCTCCTCCCTCGTCCTCCTGCCTTGACCTCCTATGATCCATCGCGCGCGTGCACCCACTTGCTGAACGAATGACTCCGCCATCCCTGACCATTTTGCCTTATTATCCAGAAACATTTCCTCTGTTCATGTCCTAGCCTGCCCTGTGCCCGTCCCTTCTCTGTGGGCTCGGCATTTTTCCAACTCGTCAACTGCCGGCACGTCTCCTTGGGTCGCCTAATCCAGCGACAATGGAGGCTCTTACGAAGTCTTTTGTCCGTCCGCCGCTAAGCGCCTCGGCGTCACTTGCCGGCCAGCCGTCAGTCGCCGTTAAATCGTCCGCTCGCGGCGGGTCTTCGTCTTCGTTCCCGTCAGTCTCGAAGGCGGCCACTTCGGCCGCAAACCGCACCGTCAGGACTTTCGCGCTTCCAAACGATGATGACGTCATCGCCTTAAATTCCGGAAAAAGTCTGGAGGAGCTCGAGGAGACGATTCGCCGCATCGCGGAGGAAAACGAGCAGCTCCGAGCTCGAGCCGCGGCCGCCGCGGCCAATGCGCGCCGCGCTGAGTCCGCTTTTAAAGGAGATGTCGACGTTTCAAGGCCGCGCATGGGAGCCGTGCCGCCGCCGCCTCCGCCGGAGTTCTCGGCGGCGCCTGCGGTCGAGTATTTGGATACGACTCTAGGGGGGGTGCCTGCAGCGGAGGTCGCTTCAGTCGAAGCTAAATACCTCGTCGAAGGTGCGTGCGTTGCTAGTGTTAACACGCCCAATCTAAAGAGCTTACGGAAACATTGGTCATGGTAGTGTTGGTGCTGGTTGTTGCGTTGGCGGTTAACGTTCGTTCAGAGGAGCTGAATGCTTCGGTCGAAGCTGAATACTTCGGTCGAAGCTGAATGCTTCGGTCGAAGCTGAATGCTTCGGTCGAAGCTGAATGCTTCGGTCGAAGCTGAATGCTTCGGTCGAAGCTGAATGCTTCGGTCGAAGCTGAATACTTCGTCGGAGTGCGTTGCTGATGTTAACCCGACCAATCCCAGGGGCTTCGGGAAACCATTGGTCGTGGTGGTGCTGGTGATTGTGGTTAGCTTGTAGCGATTCCAAGAGTCAGCGGAATGAGCGTGGTATTCGTTGTTGCGTTGGCGGTTAGCGCTCCCGCATGTGATTGTAGACCGCGTGGGTTGTGACTGTAATGGTGGCTGGAGGTGGCAGTCAGAAAATGCACTGTTGAGTGTGTGCATAAGTACAAGCTTCCCCTCCCCCCCACCCCCCCCCCCCCCCCCCCGCTTCTCCCCCCCCGGCCTTCCCCCCGACTGCAGAGGCGGAGAGCGTGAGGAGCTGGCAGGAGGCGGTGGAACAAAAGGCCGCCACGTCAGCAGCGGCGGATGGCAACATCGAGATTGCCGCAGCAGGCGGGATCGAGGATATCCAGAAGACGGAGAACCCTATGAGGTGCGGTGGGAAGGCGTGCGGTGCGGTGAGGAGGCGTGAGAAGGCTAATGTGTCCTTAAAGTCGACTCAGAGTCTGCCTTGACTGCATATACGTTTTCCCCTCCCTCATCTTTTCTTCTCTCCCCTCCAACCCCCTCCCCCCTTCCCCAGCATTGTGTTCGTGGCGTCGGAGTTAGCCCCTTACTCTAAAACCTTCGGGCTGGCGGACGTGGTGGGGTCGCTGCCGCCCCCATTCACCATTACCCCGCATCCTCCCCCTTTCCCGCCTGCAGCATTGTGTTCGTGGCGTCAGAGGTGGCCCCTTACTCCAAAACCGGAGGCCTGGCGGACGTGGTGGGGTCGCTGCCGGTGCTCCATGTCCCCCTTTCCTCTGCACTACCACCGTCCCTCTCCCCCACTCTCAACCACCCCCAGCATTGTGTTCGTGGCGTCCGAGGTGGCCCCTTACTCGAAAACCGGCGGGCTGGCGGACGTGGTGGGGTCGCTGCCGGTGGCGCTGGCGGCGAGGGGGCACCGCGTGATGGTGGTGGCGCCGCGCTACATGAATGGCGTCACGGACAAGCTCTACGCGGGGGCCTTTGACATGCAGGTGGGGTAGTGAGGCTTGGTTGCCGAGTATCAGGCGATAGGGGAAGGCAGCACATGGGTAGGGTAGGGTAGGTACGCAGGGAGGGAGCTTGTGGTGGCAGCGAGGGGGCACTGCGTGATGGTGGTGGTGGGCCTCCCTTACATGAATGGCCACCACGTGTGTGGCGCCGTAAATGATACACGACCTACGTGATCATAGCGCCTAAGCGGTCTTCGCGTGCGTCCTCCCTGCCCTGCCCTCCCCCTTCCTTCCGCTCTATCTCCTTGCAGTGTCGCATCAAGTGCTTCTGCTTTGAGGGTGCGCACGAGGTGGCCTTCTTCCACGAGTTCAGAGACGGTGTTGACTTTGTAAGACCTTCGTTGACTTTGTAAGACTTGCATTGACTTTGAGAGACCTCACTTGCGTAGACTTGCTGAGTTTCACTGTGTCACACTGGCACACTTCTTCATCATCTCCATGCTTCTCCTTCTTCCCCCTCTCGACCCACTCTTCACCTTGTCCCTTCCCACCCCCTCTCTCTACCTGATAATTCAACTCGACACCTTGGCTTACCCCCTTCATTTCGCCCCTCTCACTCCCCCTCACTCTCATCCACTTTCTCCTTCTCCCTCCTTCACTTCCCCCTCGCAGGTGTTCGTGGATCACCCATCCTACCATCGCCCTGGCACGCCCTATGAGGTGATGTGATGTTTGCATTGACTCTCAAGTGTCCTTTCCCCTCCCTCCGCTTCCCTCCCTCCCTCTCCCTCCCCCTCGCTACGCCCCCCCTCTTTCCCCTTCCCCCTCGCAGGTGTTCGTGGATCACCCATCCTACCATCGCCCTGGCACGCCCTATGGGGACCAAAACGGCACGTTTGGCGACAACCAGGTGGGTGGGACAGGTGATGACAGGTGATGACAGGGTGCTGCTGTTTCCACAAATGCATGACTTTCATCTCATGAATGCATGATGGCTGTAATTTGTTTGTCCCCTCTCCCCTCACCTTCGCTGTCCCCTCTCCCCTCAACCCTGCCGCCTCTTTCTCCCATCTCCACAACCCCTTCCGCTACCCCCTTCCCACCATGGCACGCTGCTGTGCCATGCGGCCTGTGAGGCTCACAGCAGCGAGGCACATACGGGCAAATAATGTTGCCTCCATCCCTCGCTGCTCCCCTCCCTCACTCCTCCTCCTCTTCCCCTCCCCCTCCTCTCCACACATCAGTTCCGCTTCACGCTGCTGTGCCATGCAGCCTGCGAGGCGCCACTACAGCTGGAGCTGGGCGGGTTCACGTACGGGGAGAAGGTTCTTTTCATTGCCAACGACTGGCACGCGGGGCTGCTGCCCGTGTGAGTGGGGGGAGGGAGAGGTAGGGGAAAGGGGAGGCCGGGAGGGGTTGAAGGGACAGCTGGAGCTGGGCGGGTTCACGTACAGGGAGAAGGTTCTTTTCATTGCCAACGACTGGCACGCAGGGATGCTGCCCGTGTGAGTGGGGGGAGGGGGGAAACGAGGGGGAAACCAGGGGGGGATGAAACACAGCTGGAGCTGGGCGGGTTCACGTACGGGGAGAAGGCTATTTTTGAGTCGACTCAAAAATAGGTTCACGTACAGGGAGAAGGTGCTGTTCATTGCCAATGACTGGCACGCGGGGCTGCTGCCCGTGTGAGTGGGGAAAGAGAAGAGAGGGGGGGTTGGGGGAGAGGGGGGAGGAAGCGGCAGCTGGAGATGAGTGGATTGTTGAGAAGCGGTTCGTTGCTAATGCCTGGCATGTGTGATAAGTCGATTTTGAGTCGACTCAAAAATCGACTTATCACACACGAGGAGGGGAGGGGAGACGGGGGGCGAAGCGGCAGCTGGAGATGAGTGGATTGTTGAGAAGGTGCTGTTCGTTGCTAATGACTGGCATGTGGGTTTGCTGCTTGTGTGAGTGGGGAAAGGGGGTGGGGGGGTGGATGGGGAGAGAAACAGTTGGAGCTGCTGCCCTGTCTCCTCTCCCCTCTCTTCTTGAAAAATCCCTGCTCCCCAAGGGATGTACGAGCACACGCGCACCATCCTGGGCTGGGCTGAACCTCTTAATATTCCTCCTCCCCAACCCTGATTGTCCGTTGCTTTCTTTTCCCCCCTTCCCTTTCCCCCATCAGTCTGGTCGCGTCCAACTACCGCCCCCACGGTGTGTACAAGGATGCCCGCACCATCCTTGCCATCCACAACCTCTCCCACCAGGTGAGGACAAGCCTTGCCATCCACAACCTCTCCCACCAGGTGAGGACAAGCCTTGCCATCCACAACCTCTCCCACCAGGTGAGGACAAGCCTTGCCATCCACAACCTCTCCCACCAGGTGAGGACAAACCTTGCCATCTACAACCTCTCCCACCAGGTGAGGACAAACCTTGCCATCTACAACCTCTCCCACCAGGTGAGGACAAACCTTGCCATCTACAACCTCTCCCACCAGGTGAGGACAAACCTTGCCATCTACAACCTCTCCCACCAGGTGAGGACAAACCTTGCCATCCACAACCCCTTTCATACCAGGTGCAACATGCTGTATTTCTCTCTCTGCCCAGTTCCACTCCGCTCCCACTCCCTCCACGATCCAACCCTCCACTGCTCCATTGCTCTCCTCCGTTTCAAACGCCCCCCCCCCTCGCCACCACAGGGCGTGGAGCCTGGCTACACGTTTGGCAGCCTCGGTGTGCCGGACGACTGGTACACGTTTGGTACGGGGCGCTGGAGTGGGTGTTCCCGGAGTGGGCGCAATCGCTTTCTACCTCCCTCCCGCCCCTGCCCTCCCTCACAGGGCGTGGAGCCTGGCTACACGTTCGGCAGTCTCGGCGTGCCGGGTGACTGGTACGGCGCTCTGGACTGGGTGTTTCCGGATTGGGTGTTTCTAGAGTGGTACCAACCGCTCTCCCCCTATCGTTCCCTTTTCCCTTGCCCCTTCTAATCGCCACCACAGGGCGTGGAGCCAGGCTACACGTTTGGAAGCCTGGGAGTGCCGGGTGACTGGTACGGCGCACTCGAATGGGTGTTCCCCGAGTGGGCGCGCAAGCACGAGTTGGACAAGGGCGAGGCAGTGAACATCCTCAAGGGAGCGATTGTCACTGCCGACAGGATCGTGACAGTCAGCCCGGTACGTGCGTGCTGTGGCTTGCACAGCATGTGAGTGAGGGCTCATGGTGCTGTGTGGGGCATTTGAACTGAGCACGCGTGGTGGCATGGCAAGGCAAGCACGAGTTGGACAAGGGCGAGGCGGTGAACATCCTCAAGGGGGCGATTGTGACCGCTGACAGGATCGTCACTGTCAGCCCGGTAAGCTGGTTGGCGATGTGGTGTGGTGTGGTGCAGTGCAGTGCAGTGTGGTGTGTTTTGCTGCGGTGTGTGGCCGTGAGCTCTCCGTATGCTGCTCTGTCCGCACTGTGCTTGTCTCACGGTGCCGAGGCAGGCACGAGTTGGACAAGGGCGAGGCGGTGAACATTCTAGAATGGGCCATTGCTGACAGGATCGTCACAGTCACCTCGGTATGTGTGTGCGTTTGCGTGCATGTGTGTGTGTGTGTGTGTGTGTGTGTGTGTGTGTGTGTGTGTGTGTATGCGTGTGTGTGTGGGTGTGCGTTTGCGTGCATGTGTGTGTGTGTGTGTCTGTGTGTGTGTGTGTGTGTGTGTGTATGTGTGTGTATGCGTGTGTGTGTGGGTGTGCGTGTGTGTGCATGTGTGTGTATGTGTGTGTGTGTGTGCATGTGTGCATGTGTGCATGTGTGCATGTGTGTGCATGTGTGTGCATGTGCTGCTGCTGCTGTGCGGGATACATGACGTCACCTCTTGACCCTGACCCACTCACCCCGTCCCCCTCCCTCTCCCTCCCCCTTCCCCCGCGCTGCAGGGGTACGCCTGGGAGATCGCTACAGTGGAGGGTGGGTGGGGTCACACACACACGCCCACTACCCTTCCCCCCCTCACCCCGTCCCCCTCCCCCTCCCTCTCCCTCCCCCACCGCGCTCCAGGGCTACGCCTGGGAGATAGCTACAGTGGAAGGCGGGTGGGGACCACACCTCCTCGCCAATTCCACCACTCACCTTCGTCCCTCCCCCCTCTTCCCCTCTTCCCTCCCCCTGCACACGCTCCAGGGCTATGCCTGGGAGATCACGACAGTGGAGGGCGGGTGGGGACTTGACGGGGTGCTCCCCTGATCACACTCCCTACCCTTCCCCCACTCGTCCCCTCCCCCCTCTTTCCCTACCTCCACCCCCCGCGCGCCAGGGCTACGCCTGGGAGATCACGACAGTGGAGGGCGAGTCGGGTCACACGCTCTACCTTTCCTGCACTCACTTACCCCCCCTCGTCTCCCCACTCTCCTTCTCCCCACCACCTTCCCTCAGGGCTACGCGTGGGAGATCACGACAGTGGAGGGCGGGTGGGGGCTGGATGGGCTGCTCCGGGGGCGAAGCTTCGTGCTCAACGGTAGGAAGCTTCATATGTGTTCAATTCAATCAACAGAGACTGCTACGAGGTGAATTGGCGTAGGGCACGTTCTCTCCCCTCCCCATGCCTCCCTCCGAGCTGGTTTTTGAGAATTCTAAAAAAACAGCCTGCAGGGACCGGTGGATGCCTGGAGGGAGAATTCTCAAAAACCAGCTCGTGGGGCCCGTTCTCTCCCCTCATAGCGGAGAGAACCCCTCCACGTTCTCTCCCCTCATAGCGGAGAGAACCCCTCCACGTTCTCTCCCCTCATAGCGGAGAGAACCCCTCCACGTTCTCTCCCCTCCCCATGCCTCCCTCCTCTGTCTGTATGCATGCACACGCCCCCTTCTTCCCCCCCCCCCCCCCCGTCCCCGCCACTTATGGTCCCTCCGTGCATCCCTCTTTACTTTACCTGCCCCACTCGCTGTGTCGTGCTCTCCTCTCCTCCATGCATCCACGCGCCCACCCACTCCACCCACCCACCTACTCACCCGCACGCCCCCTTGTTGCCATGCAGGTGTGTGACCAGCGGAGTGGGTGTGGTGGATTGGAGCCCTGCCACGGACAAGCACACAGCAAGCACACCGTTGATAGGCATAACCCCCCACCTTCAGTGGAGCACTAGTCACTGGCCACCCCTGCGTGCCTCTTTGCACTCTCGTTCTCCATGCAGGTGTGACCAACGGAGTGGACGTGGTGGACGGGAACCCTGCCTGCCACGGACAAGCCTGCAGTGCGGCAGATAACTCAGGCTCCCCATTTGACCCTTGAGGACTTTCCGCCCTGCCCCTTGCCCCGCTGCAGGTGTGACCAACGGAGTGGACGTGGTGGACGGGAACCCTGCCTGCCACGGACAAGCCTGCAGTGCGGCAGATAACTCAGGCTCCCCATTTGACCCTTGAGGACTTTCCGCCCTGCCCCTTGCCCCGCTGCAGGTGTGACCAACGGAGTGGACGTGGTGGACGGGAACCCTGCCTGCCACGGACAAGCCTGCAGTGCGGCAGATAACTCAGGCTCCCCATTTGACCCTTGAGGACTTTCCGCCCTGCCCCTTGCCCCGCTGCAGGTGTGACCAACGGAGTGGACGTGGTGGACGGGAACCCTGCCTGCCACGGACAAGCCTGCAGTGCGGCAGATAACTCAGGCTCCCCATTTGACCCTTGAGGACTTTCCGCCCTGCCCCTTGCCCCGCTGCAGGTGTGACCAACGGAGTGGACGTGGTGGACGGGAACCCTGCCTGCCACGGACAAGCCTGCAGTGCGGCAGATAACTCAGGCTCCCCATTTGACCCTTGAGGACTTTCCGCCCTGCCCCTTGCCCCGCTGCAGGTGTGACCAACGGAGTGGACGTGGTGGACTGGAACCCTGCCTGCCACGGACAAGCCTGCAGTGCGGCAGATAACTCAGGCTCCCCATTTGACCCTTGAGGACTTTCCGCCCTGCCCCTTGCCCCGCTGCAGGTGTGACCAACGGAGTGGACGTGGTGGACTGGAACCCTGCCTGCCACGGACAAGCCTGCAGTGCGGCAGATAACTCAGGCTCCCCATTTGACCCTTGAGGACTTTCCGCCCTGCCCCTTGCCCCGCTGCAGGTGTGACCAACGGAGTGGACGTGGTGGACTGGAACCCTGCCTGCCACGGACAAGCCTGCAGTGCGGCAGATAACTCAGGCTCCCCATTTGACCCTTGAGGACTTTCCGCCCTGCCCCTTGCCCCGCTGCAGGTGTGACCAACGGAGTGGACGTGGTGGACTGGAACCCTGCCTGCCACGGACAAGCCTGCAGTGCGGCAGATAACTCAGGCTCCCCATTTGACCCTTGAGGACTTTCCGCCCTGCCCCTTGCCCCGCTGCAGGTGTGACCAACGGAGTGGACGTGGTGGACTGGAACCCTGCCTGCCACGGACAAGCCTGCAGTGCGGCAGATAACTCAGGCTCCCCATTTGACCCTTGAGGACTTTCCGCCCTGCCCCTTGCCCCGCTGCAGGTGTGACCAACGGAGTGGACGTGGTGGACTGGAACCCTGCCTGCCACGGACAAGCCTGCAGTGCGGCAGATAACTCAGGCTCCCCATTTGACCCTTGAGGACTTTCCGCCCTGCCCCTTGCCCCGCTGCAGGTGTGACCAACGGAGTGGACGTGGTGGACTGGAACCCTGCCTGCCACGGACACGCATGCAGTGAAGCACCCCGCCCGCCCCTTTTGAACCCCCCCCTTGCTGTGTATGTATGCTTGCAGGTGTGACCAACGGAGTGGACGTGGTGGACTGGAACCCTGCCACGGACAAGCACATTCCCTCGCAGTACACCGCTGCTGACATGGCTGGCAAGGTGGGATGGGGTGGAAGGAGGGCAAGTGGGATTAGACCTTGGGCGTACAGGGATAGTTTGGCATTTTCAAACTCCGCCACGGACAAGCACATTCCCTCGCAGTACACTGCTGCTGACATGGCTGGCAAGGTGGGATGGTGTGGAAAGTGATGGGGGGGGGAGGGAGGTGGGCAAGTGGGATTGGATGTGCTGGGATGGTTTAGAATGCACCCCACTGCACCCCACTGCGCCCCACTGCGCCCCACTCATGCATCCTTCCTTCCATGCTTCCAAGTGTGTTTATGTTTATGTTACCTTTGAGAGCTCTTGAAGCTCATTCAATTCAAGTGCACCCCTCCCTGGATTGTGCCCATCCAAGCCTGCGACCTTTGAGACATCTCAAAAGCCTCCCTGGATTGTGCCCATCCAAGCCTGCGACCTTTGAGACATCTCAAAAGCCTCCCTGGATTGTGCCCATCCAAGCCTGCGACCTTTGAGACATCTCAAAAGCCTCCCTGGATTGTGCCCATCCAAGCCTGCGACCTTTGAGACGTCTCAAAAGCCTCCCTGGATTGTGCCCATCCAAGCCTGCGACCTTTGAGACATCTCAAAAGCCTCCCTGGATTGTGCCCATCCAAGCCTGCGACCTTTGAGACATCTCAAAAGCCTCCCTGGATTGTGCCCATCCAAGCCTGCGACCTTTGAGACGTCTCAAAAGCCTCCCTGGATTGTGCCCATCCAAGCCTGCGACCTTTGAGACATCTCAAAAGCCTCCCTGGATTGTGCCCATCCAAGCCTGCGACCTTTGAGACATCTCAAAAGCCTCCCTGGATTGTGCCCATCCAAGCCTGCGACCTTTGAGACATCTCAAAAGCCTCCCTGGATTGTGCCCATCCAAGCCTGCGACCTTTGAGACATCTCAAAAGCCTCCCTGGATTGTGCCCATCCAAGCCTGCGACCTTTGAGACATCTCAAAAGCCTCCCTGGATTGTGCCCATCCAAGCCTGCGACCTTTGAGACATCTCAAAAGCCTCCCTGGATTGTGCCCATCCAAGCCTGCGACCTTTGAGACATCTCAAAAGCCTCCCTGGATTGTGCCCATCCAAGCCTGCGACCTTTGAGACATCTCAAAAGCCTCCCTGGATTGTGCCCATCCAAGCCTGCGACCTTTGAGACATCTCAAAAGCCTCCCTGGATTGTGCCCATCCAAGCCTGCGACCTTTGAGACATCTCAAAAGCCTCCCTGGATTGTGCCCATCCAAGCCTGCGACCTTTGAGACGTCTCAAAAGCCTCCCTGGATTGTGCCCATCCAAGCCTGCGACCTTTGAGACATCTCAAAAGCCTCCCTGGATTGTGCCCATCCAAGCCTGCGACCTTTGAGACATCTCAAAAGCCTCCCTGGATTGTGCCCATCCAAGCCTGCGACCTTTGAGACATCTCAAAAGCCTCCCTGGATTGTGCCCATCCAAGCCTTCGACCTTTGAGACATCTCAAAAGCCTCCCTGGATTGTGCCCATCCAAGCCTGCGACCTTTGAGACATCTCAAAAGCCTCCCTGGATTGTGCCCATCCAAGCCTGCGACCTTTGAGACATCTCAAAAGCCTCCCTGGATTGTGCCCATCCAAGCCTGCGACCTTTGAGACATCTCAAAAGCCTCCCTGGATTGTGCCCATCCAAGCCTGCGACCTTTGAGACGTCTCAAAAGCCTCCCTGGATTGTGCCCATCCAAGCCTGCGACCTTTGAGACATCTCAAAAGCCTCCCTGGATTGTGCCCATCCAAGCCTGCGACCTTTGAGACATCTCAAAAGCCTCCCTGGATTGTGCCCATCCAAGCCTGCGACCTTTGAGACGTCTCAAAAGCCTCCCTGGATTGTGCCCATCCAAGCCTGCGACCTTTGAGACATCTCAAAAGCCTCCCTGGATTGTGCCCATCCAAGCCTGCGACCTTTGAGACATCTCAAAAGCCTCCCTGGATTGTGCCCATCCAAGCCTGCGACCTTTGAGACATCTCAAAAGCCTCCCTGGATTGTGCCCATCCAAGCCTGCGACCTTTGAGACGTCTCAAAAGCCTCCCTGGATTGTGCCCATCCAAGCCTGCGACCTTTGAGACATCTCAAAAGCCTCCCTGGATTGTGCCCATCCAAGCCTGCGACCTTTGAGACATCTCAAAAGCCTCCCTGGATTGTGCCCATCCAAGCCTGCGACCTTTGAGACGTCTCAAAAGCCTCCCTGGATTGTGCCCATCCAAGCCTGCGACCTTTGAGACATCTCAAAAGCCTCCCTGGATTGTGCCCATCCAAGCCTGCGACCTTTGAGACATCTCAAAAGCCTCCCTGGATTGTGCCCATCCAAGCCTGCGACCTTTGAGACATCTCAAAAGCCTCCCTGGATTGTGCCCATCCAAGCCTGCGACCTTTGAGACATCTCAAAAGCCTCCCTGGATTGTGCCCATCCAAGCCTGCGTAAACCGTTGGCTCACACAGCACATTACAACAACTACTCTTCCCCTGTTCCCTCCCCCCCCCCCCTCTTTCCCCCTCCCCCTTTCCTCCTCCCCCCTTCCCTCTCCCCCCTTCCCTCTCCCCCCTTCCCTCTCTCCCCTTCCCTCTCCCCCCTTCCCTCTCTCCCCTTCCCTCTCCCCCCTTCCCCCTCCCCCCCGTCCCACTCTGGTCTGGAGCCATAACAGGCAGCGTGCAAGGCAGCACTGCAGCAGGAGCTGGGTCTCCCTGTCCGACCAGACGTGCCTCTGGTGAGACACACGCGCCACCGGCGAGGTTCCTGAGTTTTTCAGTGGGTGGGTGGGCTGGACTGGGGGAATATGGGGGGACATTTGGCGTGCAAAGCAGCACTGCAGCAGGAGTTGGGTCTCCCTGTCCGACCTGACGTGCCTCTGGTGAGACACACGAGCCAAGGTGCTGGGTCAAGTCAGTGGGTGGGCTCTGGTGGAAGTGGTAGCTGTTTGGTTGGCAGATAGACAAGCCACCTGTGGCACCTGTGGCAGAACTCGTCTCCCCTTTGCCTCATTTCCCCCATGGCAGATCGGCTTCATCGGTCGCTTGGACTGGCAAAAGGGCCCTGACGTTATTCAAGCGGGAGTGCCGGAGCTTATGACTGACGACGTGCAGTTTGTGAGTGGAGGGGATGGGAAGGGGGGCTTTATTGTAGCGCGGATGGGATTGACAGTTTTGCTTATTGAGACGTCTCAAAAGTCTTCCTTGAAGGCCCTCAAGAATTGCTTCAAGCGGGAGTGCTGGAGCTTAGGACTGGCGACGTGCAGTTTGTGAGTGGCGGGGGGAAGAAGTGGGAGGGGGGGGAGGAAAGAGTACAACAGGGGGGGCATTTCTTTAGGCGCCTCACAAATCGATACTACAAGTGGGAGTGCCGGAGCTTATGACCGGCGACGTGCAGTTTGTGAGTGGAGGCTTGGGGAGGAAATTATAGCGGGGATATGCATATATATGCATATATATATGAACCAGTTTATACATATATATGCATATATACAAACAAGCCCATCTTCGCCTCTAGGATTGTTTGAATTGAAGCATGAGTTTCGGAGCGGATCTCGTAAATGCCTCAATGACATGCAGTTGGTGCAGTTGGTGCAGTTGGTGCAGTTGGTGCGGTTGGTGCGGTTGGTGCGGTTGGTGCGGTTGGTGCGGTTGGTGCGGTTGGTGCGGTTGGTGCGGTTGGTGCGGTTGGTGCGGTTGGTACGGTTGGTGCGGTTGGTGCGGTTGGTGCGGTTGGTGCGGTTGGTGCGGTTGGTGCGGTTGGTGCGGTTGGTGCGGTTGGTGCGGTTGGTGCGGTTGGTGCGGTTGGTGCGGTTGGTGCGGTTGGTGCGGTTGGTGCGGTTGGTGCGGTTGGTGCGGTTGGTGCGGTTGGTGCGGTTGGTGCGGTTGGTGCGGTTGGTGCGGTTGGTGCAGTTGGTGCGGTTGGTGCACCACCTCAAACAAGCCCATCTTCGCCTCTAGGATTGTTTGAATTGAAGCATGAGTTTCGGAGCGGATCTCATAAATGCCTCAATGACACGCAGTTGGTGCGGTTGGTGCACCACCTCAAACGCAGGCCATGCTGGGCAGGGGAGATGCGGGGTAGGAGGAGAGGAGCCATGGGTGCCATGGCCGGAAGGGCGAGTATGAGCCTGCCCCCTGCGCCTGCATGCATACCCCTTCCTTCCCAACTTCTCCTTCCCGTGTCCCCTTTCCCACCGTCACCCTCAGATCATGCTGGGGAGCGGAGACGCGGAGTACGAGTCATGGATGGCGTGGAGTGGGCGGAGGGCGAGTATCAAGCTCTCCCCTGGATATCCCGTTCCCATGCCCTCCCTCCCTCTCTTCCCGTCCTGTTTCAGATCATGCTGGGGAGCGGAGACGCGGAGTACGAGTCATGGATGGCGTGGAGTGGGCGGAGGGCGAGTATCAGTCTCTTCCCTGCATATCCACACCTCTCCTGCCCTTCTGCCCCCCACCCCTCCTGCAGATCATGCTGGGCAGTGGCGATGCGGAGTACGAGTCATGGATGGCATGGGCGGAGAGCGAGTATCAACCTGCCCCTTGCATGCATATGCCCTCCTACCAATCCTCTTCCTCCCACCCTTCCTCCTCCCCCCCTCCTGTAGATCATGCTGGGCAGTGGCGATGCGGAGTACGAGTCATGGATGGCGTGGGCGGAGAGCGAGTATCGGGACAAGTTCCGCGGCTGGGTGGGCTTCTCCGTGCCTGTGGCGCACAGGATGACTGCTGGGTGAGTGAGCATGGGGGGAGGCGCTGGGCTGGGTTAATTCAGGGGTAGACCAGCTCTGCACAGTGGGGCTGGGTGGGCTTTTCTGTGCCCGTGGTACACAGGATGACGGCGGGGTGAGTGAGGTCGATGATGAGGTGAACATGAGGAGGGGAGAGCTGGGTAGTGCAGGGCTTGGCTGGGTGGGCTTCTCCGTGCCCGTGGCCCACAGGATGACCGCGGGGTGAGTGAGCGGATGGGTGAGAGAGAGCACGGAGGGATGACCACGCACAGGATGACCGCAAGCGGAGAGTGGCTTTTCTTTTCTTTCATCCCCTTTGAATCCATCACCCTCTCATACTGTTCCCTTTGCCATTCTCCCTGTGCCTCCCTTCACCGTGCCTCCCTTCACCGTGCCTCCCTTCACCGTGCCTCCCTTCACCGTGCCTCCCTTCACCGTGCCTCCCTTCACGGTGCCCACCATCCCCCTTGCTATTCTGTCCCTCAGCTGCGACATTCTGCTCATACCATCGCGATTCGAGCCGTGCGGGTTGAACCAGCTCCCCTTAACACTTTCGCTTTCTCAACCTTTTATCTGTTTCACTTTCCCCTTGCCATGCCCTTCGTGTCCCCTCAGCTGCGACATTCTGCTCATGCCATCGCGATTCGAGCCGTGCGGGCTGAACCAGCTGTATGCCATGCGATACGGCACCATCCCTGTCGTTCACGCCACTGGTGGCTTGAGGGTACGTGGGAGACAGAGAGTGGGTGGGTGAGGGAGGGGGGGTGTTGAACGTGGGCTGAACCAGCTGCACGCCATGCGATACGGCACCATCCCTGTCGTTCACGCCACTGGTGGCTTGAGGGTACGTGGGAGACAGAGAGTGGGTGGGTGAGGGAGGGGGGGTGTTGAACGTGGGCTGAACCAGCTGCACGCCATGCGATACGGCACCATCCCTGTCGTTCACGCCGCTGGTGGCTTGAGGGTACGTGGGAGACAGAGAGTGGGTGGGTGAGGGAGGGGGGGTGTTGAACGTGGGCTGAACCAGCTGCACGCCATGCGATACGGCACCATCCCTGTCGTTCACGCCACTGGTGGCTTGAGGGTACGTGGGAGACAGAGAGTGGGTGGGTGAGGGAGGGGGGGTGTTGAACGTGGGCTGAACCAGCTGCACGCCATGCGATACGGCACCATCCCTGTCGTTCACGCCACTGGTCGCTTGAGGGTACGTGGGAGACAGAGAGTGGGTGGGTGAGGGAGGGGGGGTGTTGAACGTGGGCTGAACCATCTGCACGCCATGCGATACGGCACCATCCCTGTCGTTCACGCCACTGGTGGCTTGAGGGTACGTGGGAGACAGAGAGTGGGTGGGTGAGGGAGGGGGGGTGTTGAACGTGGGCTGAACCAGCTGCACGCCATGCGATACGGCACCATCCCTGTCGTTCACGCCACTGGTGGCTTGAGGGTACGTGGGAGACAGAGAGTGGGTGGGTGAGGGAGGGGGGGTGTTGAACGTGGGCTGAACCAGCTGTACGCCATGCGATACGGCACCATCCCTGTTGTGCACGCCACTGGTGGCTTGACGGTGAGTGGTACAGTGAGGAGGGGTAGAAACTCAATATATGAAAGGAAGGATATAGCAGCAGAGGCTGAACCAGCTGTATGCCATGCGATACGGCACCACCCCTGTCGTTCACGCCACTGGTGGCTTGAGGTTAAGTCATGAGCGAGAGGTTGAAATTGAAAAGGGAGGAAAAGAAATTCTTCTTTCTTGTGCCTTCTTTCCCCGTCCCGCTCCTTCCGTCGCGACCCGTGACTCATCCCCCCGTTCAGGACTTCGACCCGCTCGTCCTGTTCTCCTCTGCAACCTTGCCTTCTCCCATCTCCCGTCATCTCCCCCCTCCCCCTTCCTTCCCCCCAACCCCTTCCCCCCCACCAACCCCCCCCAACCCCACACCTCTCCCCTTCCGACGCCCCATCTCCCTCTTTTCTCTCACCCACTCCAGGACCCGGTTCAGGACTTCAACCCGTTTGCCAGCGAGGGCAAGGGCGACGACACGAGGAGGTGTCAAAGTGACTTTTGAGTCGAGTAAAAAATGATCCCTTCCCCATCCTTCCCCACCGCTCCCTCCCACCCCTCCCTTTCTCCCCGCCCATCTCCCACCCCTTCCATCCACCCCAGGACACGGTTCAGGACTTCAACCCGTTTGCCAACGAGGGCAAGGGCGATGGCACAGGGTGAGCGGAGGGGGGGAAGGGGGGAGATAAGGAAAGGGTTTTCGGTGGGGTGGGGGCCGGATAGGGAAGGGTGGGTGGGACTAGGAAGGGCCAGGAGGGAGGGCAGGAATGACATGCTTCCCTTCAATTTGACGGGGAAGGGGAGGGGAGCAAGGAGAAGCGAAGATGGTTGGCTCGGGCAAAGGGGGAAAATGAAGGGTGGAGGGAGGCTGTTCTGTACAATTGAGTTAGAGGGGTTGACGTGACACCAGGGGAAGGCCAAAGGGATGGAAGGGTTGTAAAGAGGGCAGAAACGGGTGGCTAGACGAGACGTGGCCTCCGTTGCTTTATACATACCTCTTTGGCTGTTCGTCTCTCACATGCATGACTTTTCTCCTCACCCTTCACCCTACACCTTACACTGAATCACCTTTGCTGATCCCTTACTCGCCTGTGATGCATGTCATCCTTGTCTCGCCCCTCAGGTGGACCTTCTCACCTCTCACCAAGGAAGCCATGATGGGGGTGAGTGCGTGCATGCATGCATGCGTGCGTGTGTGTGTGAGTGCGTGCGTGCGTGCGTGTGTCTGGTAACCAGTTGTGTCTGTCCGTCAATGGTCCTCACGAACTGTTACTGTTACTGCTAATCTCTTCAATATTGGCTCTTTTCTGCTTTTTTTTCAAGATTTTTCAACGACGTGCACATACTTGATATACCCCTCCGCATAGCTGAATACCCCTCTGCATACACGACTACCCCTCTGCATACACGACTACCCCTCTGCATACACGACTACCCCTCTGCATACATGACTACCCCTCCATATACCTGATTACTGCTTACATACCTTGCCACAGCTCTGCACCCATGCAGGGGCTGTGGACGGCCATTCAGACGTACAGGGAGCACAAGGACTCGTGGGCGCGGGTGATGGAGAGGGGCATGCTGCTCCACGTACCCTACTACCTCTCCATATACCTTACCACCACTCCTCACACCTTACCACCACTCTACACACATTTCCACCACTCCACACCCATGCAGGCGCTGTGGACGGCGATTCAGACATACAGGGAGCACAAGGACTCGTGGGTGCGGGTGATGGAGAGGGGCATGCTGCAGGACATGTCGTGGAACAAGGCAGCCGAGCAGTACGAGCAGATCTTTGGCTGGGCTATGCAGGACAAGCCCTATGCTTGAGCTGTGAATGAAAAGAGTAGATTGTACTATGTATGCGGCGAACGGGTTGACGAAATGGGAATGTTGCACATTGATTAGAACGAGCAGATATTTGGCTGGGCCATGCAGGACAAGCCCTATGCTTGATTCAGGAGAAAATTGTGTTGCTGCTGCTGGGTACACTTGCGACTCAAATGGGTTGCTGAAGCGATGGGTTTTATTCTTGTTGATTGAGACTGAAGATACGTGCTGCACACAGGAGCAGTGGAGCCTCTTTCATGAATGCCTTCTTGGCCATGACACCCATGAACCTCAACTGGAAACCTAGTGTGTTTTTAGCTGATGTCACTAGCTAGAAAACAACAAGATGCGGTGAGCGTGGATCGAACACGTGACCTCCTTCAGATCTTCAGTCTGATGCTCTCCCAACTGATCTATCCATGCAAATGTGGAGAAGTGGGGTATCGATCCCCATACCTCTCGCATGCTAAGAGAGCGCTCTAACATCTGAGCTACATCCCCGTTGTCCAATGACTACAAAGTACAGATAACTCAGCTAGTAGTTTTGCTCCTGAAACTAATGAAGTTCACAGTATCCGAACTGGTGTACAGAGTTCGGCAAACTGTTCTCGTTACTAGCGTCGAGATCTTAGATGCGCAATACACGCTCGACCGACGGCGTTGAGAGAGCCACGCGAGCGGTTCATGGCTGGGCGCATCTGGGCTCAGAACGTCAGAGGGATACGTGGGGCATCATCGAGCCAGTCGCGTGCCACCATCTGTCGTCGTGGCCCTCTCACATCTTTCCGCGATGACCCAAGCTGACCATCATTTCTCATTCGAGCGATCTGCCCGTTGTCACACACTTGTGCAGCTTTTAGTGCTGAACTTGGTAGCAATATTTGGCAAGGAGGCGAAGTCCGTGAACATATGTTTCTGAAAGTGAAAGTCTTGTGGTGGCAATAATTGGTCCAGAGTACCTTAACTGGCCGTATTATTATTTTCGTTTTCGTCTGCCCGTGAAGCTCTCGCATCGTTTTTCCAACGAAGCTTCACCCTCGTCGATGTCACCACCATTCCTCCACAGCCATGGCTGCCAGATGCTACACGCGCTTCGCCCCGGCTGTACCGTTTTCCTTGACATTGCCGCTCCTTTCATGAATTGATTGATAGTCATTCACTATCAGGTTTAGTCCTTGCACTACGACATACCGGCTAAGCTGTGCGGCAGATTGTAGGTGGAATTCCAGACTGCAGTGGAAGTATGAGCCACACCCACACTTCTTGATTTCCTTACCGAGAACGTCCTAGGCCTTACCTCATTCTCAACAATCTGAGCCTTTCGCAGTCGCCCTTCTTTTGTTTGCCTTCCGCACTTGACGCTCTCAAAATACCTCAGCTCTCATCACAACTCCGCCTCCACCTTAGTTACAGGGCGTATTTCCGTGCCCACTAGTTCAGAGCAGCGTCAATTTTCCTTGCGTCCCACAATTCACATCAGCCAGCCATGGCGACCGCCGCTGTTTCCGACCTTTCCCGCCGGGCAGTCCCCTGCACAGCCATGAGAACTCAGTCCACCTCTCGCCAGCATCTACCATCATTTTCTGGTGCGAATTTTCCTGCTGCGATCCTCGTTTTATTCTCTTCTCCGGCTGCCTTTCCGCGGCCTTATCTCGCTGTTTCGTCGTATCATCGTATGTTGACTCGCGGATTCACATAAGAACACCCAAGCGCTTTGTTTGGTTAAAAATAGCTTCCTCATAAGTAGCCTTATTCAATGCTGAACTTATACCCCCCTTATGATCCCCGTTCGCAGGTCCGCCTCTCGCCGCGCATACCCCTCGCCGTCATCACGCTATCGTCAGCTTCCGCCGCTCGTCCCTCGCAGGAATCGCGCGAGTGACAGTATCGAGAGCCAATCTTAGCCGCACATCCGTCACGCGACCTCTCTCGAGGCGTTTGCCGCCCTCGATTCGCGCCTTCACAAACCAACCGGACGCGGCGCGACCCGGCAGCAAGGCATCCTGGATCGCGGCAACAGATGCGGCTCCGTCCCTCCTCGACACGTCCCGACGACAAGCCGCCGCTGCTGCACGTTCCCCTGCCGCCGCCGCTACCTCCGCTTCTGCCGCTGCTTCTACCACAGCTGCCGCTGCCGCGGCGCTCGAGGACTCGTTATCGAGTCGCGGCATTCCCGAGGCGTACTCAACGGACGCGCAAATCCTGAGCGGCGAGGTGGAGGGATTCGCGGGAATGAACGAGGAGGGCGAGTGGATTCTGCTGTTGCCGTCGGGTCGCAAGCGGCAGTACCCGCGAAAGCGCCGCTCGAAACCTCGAGTTCCTCTCGCCATTGACCCCGTTGACCGCGTTGACGCCGTTGATTCTGTTGACGCCCCTCGAAACGCCGCATCCAGCGTCCGTCTGCCGTCAGATGTGTCGCAGATTGAAGATTCTACGCCGTTCGTGGTCAGCAGCGGAAGATCAAATCTGCTGCCTGTCGTGAATCCCGAGCTTTCAGGCTCTCCTGGGGCGCCACGTGGCAGGCATCCGTCCCCTAAAGCCTTATCCGAAGCGGCAGTGAGGGTGAGAAGGGAAAGGCAGAAGTTGCAGCAGCAGCGCCAGCAGGGGGGCGACGCGCTAGTTAATGACTATAACGAAGGGTCGAATGATGCGACAAAGGCTGATGTGACTGAAGCGGACGATGTTTTCTTCTCTGCGCCTTCCACACCCACCTCCCCTTCCTCCTCCTCCTCTTCCTCCTCCTCCTCCCCCTCCCCGCTCTCCCCTCCCTTATCCCTGTCCCCATTGCTGGCTTCCGACTTGAGCCCCGCTTCCGCTCCTGCGCCCGTTTCCGCCGCTCCGCGCACCCCGCTGCCCGAATTCGCGCCGTCGCGGGCAGTCGACGCAGTTCAAGAGGCGGAAGGGGGGAGGGAGGCGGAGAACGCGGGCGAGAACTGGCGGGGAGTGTCCCACAAGCGTACAGTGAGACTGAGCTTAGCGCGTCCGCCGTCGGCAATCAGGCGAGCGGCGATAGAAACCACAGAAGTTCCAGACCAACAACTGTGGGCTAAGGAAGTAGGAAGGGGTGCGGAGGAGGCGCAGGCTGCGGAGATGCAGGGGGAGAGGGAGGGGGAGCGGCGGGGCGGGGCGGAAGTGGCAGGCGCGCTGAAGGCCGTGAGGCGGCACCTGAGTGGGGGGACGCGGAGCGGAATGACGACTGCTAGAGCCCTGCTGGACGAGGTGAGTGTCGAGCAGCTGGAGCGAGGCCAAGTGAAGGGCGGCGGGGAGAGGGGAAGACGAAGGGAGTGGGTGAGGAGGTGTGAAAAGGCATGGAGGAGTACAGGTGCTGGGAGCATGCAGCCGTGCGTCATTTCCCGCCCAACTTCTTGTTTCCCACGTCCTGTACGAAGGCAGGCAACCCTGTTTTCTCTGTGTCCCTCACTCACACTCTCCCTGCTTCCCTCGTCCCCCTGTCTCCCCGTGTCATCCCTGTCTCCCGCAGCTGCTATCCCAGCAACCTACGAACCCTCAAGTCCAGGAGCACATGGCGCTGGCAGAGAGGAAGGCGGGCAACACAGCAGCCGCCAGGACGTGGTACCGCCGCAGTGCACAGGGCTATGAGGAGGCTCTGGCGGTTGGCACTGGCTCCCCGCACTCAGGGGATGCTGTTGTGAACCACCACAGCGACGCAAGGCATTCAGAAGCCAGGCACTCGGCAGAGAGAGGGCCTGCGGAGCTTATGAGTGACGGAGCAGCAGAGGAGGGTGGGCACCCGAGGAATCACCTGGGGCGGTGCCTGCAGGCGTGGGCCGGGATGCAGGCGGAGGAGGGTGACATGGTTACCAGCAGACAGCTGTTTCAACGGTCAATGGTGACACTGACGCGGGGAGAACCAGGCCACCAGCAACTACAGGAGCAGCAGGGCAGAACAAAACAGTCGGGGCAATCTCTGAAAGATACTGGAAGCCTTGTAAATGGCGTTCATGCCTGGGCTATGGCTGAGAAGCGCGAAGGGAACTTTCAGGCTGCCCGTAACCTGCTGGAGCAGGCAGAGAAGATTCAGCCGGGCAGCCCGGTGGTTCTGCAGTCACGCGCTCTCCTAGAAGCTTCCGTGAAGAACCTGGGTGCTGCCCGGTGTTATTTCAAGAAGGCCACTGCTGCTGCCCCTCTTGACGCTGCGTCCTGGCAGGTATGTTCACTCATTGACTACTGTTCGCGCAGTACTTCAGTCGCTTGCTGCTGCTCTCTGCTCCCTCTTTATTCCGTCTTGATTTTTTGTTTTCGCTGCTCTCGATCTCTCCCTATTAGTATGCTGCCCGCAATTCAACATGTGGCATCGCAGTCACCTCACATGGAGCTGCATGCGAAGAAGCCACCACCTCCTCACCCCGCCCATGCCCTCCCTCCTATCCCTCATTCCACCGCAGGCATGGGCCCTCCTCGAAGCAAAGGCTGGCCGGGCAGACCGCATGCGTTCACTCTTCAGCTCCGCACTATCAGCCAACCCCAAGTCCATTCCCACTCTGCACGCGTGGGCGTGTCAGGAGGCCCGCCTAGCCACACCTGAGAGCAGAGAGGCAGCCAGGAGGCTGTTTCGGAGATGTTTGGAGGTGCAGCCTGGGTGTGTGCGGGCGCTGCAGGCGTGGGGTGTGATGGAGCATGCAGAGGGGGATGCTGATGCGGCAAGGAGGCTGTTTGACCGCGGCCTTGAGGCCGCTCCTCACTCAGCCCCCACTCTCCAGGTATGCTCCCTCCATTTCCACCTCACCTTGGAAGGGTTTTTTTCTGGGGGGGGCGGGGTGGTGGGGGGAGAAGGGGATCCGCAGGCCTGCCTTGTTGCAGTGTTGCGTGAGGTAGTGTGCCATCCCACCCCTTTCATAACTCTCATCCCTCCCTCTCCCCCCCCATCCCCCTCTTGTCTTACAGGCATATGCATGCTTGGAGAGGCAGCAAGGAAATCTATTAAAGGCCCGCTCGCTCCTAGAACTGGCCCTAACAACCCAGCCGGGCAATGCAGCAGCGCTGCAGCAGGCAGCAGAGGTGGAGGAGGCGCTGGGGAATGCAGCAGGTGCGCATGAGCTCTTTGTGCGGGCGCACCGGGCAGATAGAAAGGTGGCGAGGCGACGACGGGGGATGTATGAGTCGGTGAAAGAGGGGAGGAGAGAGGCGCAGGCGAGAGGGGAGGTGCCGCGCTGGGTTGTGGGGAAGATGAGGGAGCGGCTGTTGAAGAGGAGAGTTGAGGAAATTTGATGAGAGGGATGATAGAGGGTAAGCTGGAACAGCTGGAGTGCCTGCTCGAAATCTGGGCTAATAGCATCTCTCGCCCCAACCAACCTTCCTAGTTTAAAAATACCTTGGCCTTGGCTTTTTGTGAGCTTATTGCTCATGTGTAGGGAGTAGGGTGGGTTACCATTTGCATTTCTTCCAACACATCTGCAGAGGTGGTCTTTAGGGTCATGAGTGGCTTGTGTACAGCTGAAGTGCAGTGTTGCTCTCAATTGCAAAGATACACTATACAAGTTTGGACATGCTTTTGTAATATACTAGACTGGAATGGAACGAGTCTTGCACATTGCTTGTTGATGCCTTGCGAATAGAGTACAAGGAACATGGGCAATTAGGGAACTGCATCCAATCTATTCTATGATAACTGTGCCAACAAAGCGTCCCTTCAACAAAAGTGATCAACTACCAGTAACCATGTATTTGCAGGAAAAAAAAGAAACCCATTTTTTAGGGTCATGAAAAGTTTGTACGTGTATACCATTTAGAATATCTTGTAGTTTTTTTTTTTAGGTAATTGAAATGTACACCGAACAGAACAAGCATACATAATCAATAACAGTCATAACTGTGCATGAGGGGAAGCCACACAGCCGCCCCAAGTGTGGCCTCTAAGGAGGTCGGTGAGTCATCCTCGGTGCGAGCCAGACGTTTGTAAATGCATTTGTCCACGTCCACGACTTGCTATTTTTGTCCCTGATCCGAAGCAGCACCTTGTCATCTTTCTCCATTGTGCGACGGAACTTCTCCTCCTGGCGTGTACCCTGACATTTCTTCCACCGCGCTTCTCTTGTCCGCGTGTACAACCTTGCATGTAGCCGAAAGGCCGTTTCAACCCTCCGGAGCACCCGCCTCGCCCGGAACCTTTGCCCCCTGAAGACAGCATCACACCGCTCCAGCCACAGCTGATGAAGCGTGATTGATGTAATCGTGGCTTCCGGGAAAGCTGAGATGGAGCCTGCCTTCCGGAACAACAGGTCTCCGAGGGAAGACACTGTGCGTGAGGCGTTCATCATTCGGAGGGTTTTCAAGAGCGCCGAGGTCACCGGTTGTATCTTCGGGCAGCTGTAAAGGCAGTGCTCTAGGGTTTCCACACCTCCACAGAAAGGGCAGACCGGCTTGCTGCTCAGAATCGCCACCCGCTCTCCCACTTGCAGATTAAGGTTATGAACCCGCAGCAGAAGATCTCTCGGTTTGCTCGGTGTAGCCAACGAATCCCGAATGGCAATAGTCCGCTTCCAGTTTATCTGCCCGCTCCATCTACCCTTCCACAGTAACTGCTTCGCAGATGGTTTCTGCCCCTCCCTCCAGAGCAGCTTCAACCGCTTCATGGGCGCAACCCCCCCGTTCTCAAAGATGGGGAAGTCAGTAAGTTTGCGCCCCGCAGAATGGTAAACCCTCTGAGATCCGGCCGATGTGTTCCCCTGAGTGCCATGAGTAGGCGCACTGAGCAGCAGTTCTCTCCATCTCTGGGGAGCAGCCTCGAACGCCCTCACTGCTAACTTTGCAGATGCCTTCCCGCCCAGCTCCCGTTCTAGCACAGCCAGGGTTTTGAGTACAGGAGCGCCGGTCCCGTCGGTCGCGAGCAGATCACCTAGCCTTTTTTCCCACAGCGGCTTCGCGTCTTTTTGCCCCCCAACCGGCGTGGTTTCCTTCAGCAAAATACGCTTGTTGAAGACGATCCGCTCCTTTTCCACCGCCTCGCGAGTGCTTGCCTCTGGGAGATTGCCCAGCGGCGTTTTCATGAAGTTTTCAACCGCCACCTTCCAGCGAGGACTCTTCCCCTCCCAGTGCTTGAGCAGCTTCTCATGAGCGAAAAAAGTCTCAATGCCCATGGGCAAGTCCGCCGCCCGCGTCATGAGGTGCCTTTTCAGCTCGTTCGTCTCTAGCGCCAGCAAACCCACGCGGCGGGCTGTGAGACACGCCAGGATCATCTCCGGATCGTGCACCCCCACTCCCCCCAGCTTCCTCAGAGTGTGAAGTAGATCCTTGCTCCAGAGCCTGAACACCGTGTCGGATGTTACTTTATTCCCAGAGACGAAGTTATGGAAAGTCTTTGAGATAGTGCCCCATAGCTTCGCTGGCGGCGGGTAGACCTGCGCCTGGAATGCTGCCTTTGGCATCGTGTAGCAGTTGACTACCGTCGTCCTTGCCGCCGTTGGAAGAAATTTCGGCTGCCATTTTTTGTTTTTTCCCGTCACATCCTCCGCAGCTTTTTCCCATGTTGGCAGGCAGCTTCCCGAGGGAGTGATCCATACCCCAAGCAGCTTCTCCGCTTCCTCTGCCTTCGCCCAGCGGAAACCGTTTGCCCGACCAGTCGTTCTGCCGAGATTGTTCCCCAACGGTAAGATGACTGACTTGTCCCTGTTTGTTGCTAACCCCGAGGTCAACTCAAACTTCGCTAGCACTTGCTCGGCTCTGATGATCTGCTGCTTCCCTTCCAGGATCAGGGTGGTGTCGTCTGCATAGCCGATGTAGGCCAACCGCTCGCTCGCCCTGCTGATTCTTAACTTCCGCTTCAGGACCATTTGCGCCAGTGGCTCAACCGCGCACAGAAACAGGTACGGAGCAAGGGGACAGCCTTGCCGGACCCCGGAGACCACCTCCACGCCTTCCCCCATCCAGCCATTGACTAACAGTCTCGTCTGTGTTCCCGCGTGCAGGCCTTCCACCCAACGCACCAGTCGATCAGGGAAGCCCATTGCCCGTAGAGTGCGGAAAAGGTAGCCGCGGGAAACGGAGTCAACTGCCTTTTTGAAGTCGACCAAGAGGAGGAACCAGTCCTCATTGTCGTTCCGTGCCGTGTCGATGATGTCAGCGACAAGCCCCACCGCATCCGTCAGCTGCTTTCCTGGGAGAAACCCATATTGCTCCGGCGAGATCACCCGGCTCAGAAACTTCTTCATCCTGTCAGCCACAACCCGCGCCAACACCTTGTAAGTGAAGTTGAGAAGGGTGATGGGGCGGTAGTTGTTGAGTTGGTCCTTATCTCCTTTCTTATGCAGAAGTATCGTAACTGCCTCTTTTACTCCCGTTGAGAGAGTTGCTGACGACGCAAAATCCTTTGCTAAGGCCATGAAGCCTTTTCCCAGCAGGTCCCAGTGCGCTTCGAATAGCTCCTTCGGCAGACCATCTTTCCCCGGGGATTTGTTTGCCGCCATCGCACTGAAGGCCTTTTTCACCTCCTCTTCCGTCCAGTCTGCCGCCAGTTCCTCTGCCTCCCAGCCCCTCAGCTTCCTTTCCTTCGCAGGTCGCCAGTCATCCTCCAGCTGACACCGATCCCGCCCGAAGATGTCTGCAAAGAATTCCGATGCCGCCCGAAGAATACCTTGCGAGTCGGAAACAACACCAGACAGCGACTGCAGCTCCGCAATCTGAGTACTCGCCTTCTTAGCCTGCACCATCGCCGTCAGATGCTTCGACGCTACTTCCCCTCGGAGCTCCATCCGCATACCAGACATCAGGTATAACTTGTCCTTTCTTGACGCCTGGTACTCCCGCAGTTGCGCCTCCTTCACAGCTAAACGTGCGCTTGTTGCCTTGCAGGATGGGTCTCGCATCATTTCTTGACAAAGCTCCGCAACCTCATCAGCTAGATGCGTCACTGTTGCCTTCACCCGCTTGCCTTCTTCTCTTGCGAAGGCCCGAAGCCCAAATGCCAGCCGCGAAAGAAGTAACTCGAAGCTCCTACCGTCAGTGACAACGCATTTCGCCACCGTCGCTTCCACAATGCGCCGAACCCCTTGCTTGTGGACCATTGACGCGTGAAGCCTCCAGAGGCCGGGACCAATGCAGATCTTGGCATCAATTCGGAGAGCCACCCGAATCGCAAAGCTGTGATCTGATATGTGCTTCACTGGCATCACGTGAGAGGCCTGGATCAGGTGAGATAAGAGTGAGTGAGAGATAAGAGCTCGGTCAGTGCGCGTGCTAGCCTGCTTCGCCTGAGAGAAAAAGGTGAACTCCCGTTTCCTTGGATAAAGCGTGCGGAAAGCGTCTGAGAGCTGGAAAGTAGTGCAGCGGGCGAGAAGTCTATCGTTTTCCGCAGTAGAACCTATGCGCGACGACTTATCTAATACCGGGTCTTCTATGATATTAAGATCGCCTATGATAAGCAGGTGGTTGGACGGCGGGATCAAGTCTACCACTGGGCCAAGGGAGTCGCGGAGAAAGGCCGCACGAGAAGACGCGCTGGCTGGGAGGTAGCAGGCTATGATGGTAAGCTGCAACCCAAGGCCATGGACCTCCGCGGACACTAATCTACCAGACGGATGGACCAGTACACTGGAGAACCTAAGTAAGGGCGAGCGGCAAAGCAGAGCCACACCGCCAGCCTTCGTCGTAGGTGAGGCTGCTACCGCTAAACTGTAAGTCGGATGGGACCATAGTTGGTGATCGGATGCTATCCTAGTGTCAGAGAGGACAATAATGTCTGCTGCTTGTCTAGACCAGTTGAGGACTCGCTGCTGTTTAGTCTTATCTCCTAGGCCGTTGACGTTAAGGCCCGTGAAACTGATGAGGCTTTTTTTACTCATTTGATAACAGCTTGAAAACCCCTACGCATCCACAGGGTAAAGAAAAGAACGGCACCAACTACTGCAAGGACTACTGCTGCTGCTGCTGTGTGCTGACCGAGCTGCTCTTCCCTTAGAGCCCATACTCCTTCTTCGTGACATTGAGGCTTGCACGCTCGAGTGAGACACGTGTCGCAGATCCGAGCTTCTCCAGGTGAATGAGGTGGTTCGCAAAGGTGACATGATCTGCTGCAGTCATGAAGCTTTTCCCCTTCGCCTTCCCACAGCCCACTTGCGTGCAGATCCACTCTTCCCGATTCCCTCCGGTGGAGATCAACACCATGGCCGGATCCAGCAGGATGGGGGTTATCAGCGGCGAGGCCGGAAGGGACGCAGCTGCATGGTACGACTTGACAGTTAGCACGAGGACAAGCATGATAGCATGTAAGAACA